TTGGTGTAAATGACAGGCGTTATGTTTAAAAGACACCAGGCACAGCTCATCACTAAGCTAATACTAGACCTACAGTGAAGTAAGGTGGTGGCAACATCATGCTATGGGGATGTTTATTCAGCTGCTGGATCTGGCATGTAGAGAGGTATGCTGGATGATAATTTGCTCCAGTTTGCTCTTGACCTCAGACTAGGGAGACAAACCAAAGCAAAGGACCAAGATCTTAAAGTAAACGATTGTAACTCACTCTGAATGTCCTGGAGTTGCCATATTGGAGTTCAGACATGAATTAGATGGAACATCTATAGAGAGATCTTTAGATGCCTGTGAACAGATGTCTCCAATTCAGCCTGATGGAGCTTGAGATGTAGTCAGAGGAAGAATGGGTGAAAATGCCTGAAAGACTTAAAATGTGATTGTTCCCAAGGGTGGATAAACTACTGTAAGTATTAAGCAAAGGGTAAGATTGCTGAATTAGATTTGGTTTACTAGTTTTCTATTTGTTTAGCACATTTTCAACAATCTGAACAAGAAAAATGTTGTACTTCATCATAATGGGGCTTCCTGTGTGTAGAATTTAACACCATTTTGCATTGGGCTCATACATAAACAAAGGTTAAAAAAAAGCAAACAGCAACACTGTGTGAACACTTTCCAGATCTGTAATATGGTGGTTCTAATAGCAATAATAAGAGTATTTATTCCTTAATAATATTAGAATATCAAAACATTCTTATGCTGTCTAATAGGAATTTTATTTATAAACAATAAAACATTAAAATAATTCAGTTAGAATTAAAAGCTATGTTAACTTTAAAATGAATTAATTTGGTCAAAGTTAAATGTCTAGGCTACAACCAGCCTTTTCTCACTACTGAGCAAGTAAAAACAAATGTTGTTTTAAGTAAAGAACCTTGTGAGTTTAATTTGAAATAGTCATTAAAATAAACCCACTGATGCTAAAATGATTATTCAGTATAATTAATCAATGCAACTTTTTCTTGCTTCATCACTGGTAGAGTTTCAGCAAAGGCAAAAATGGCCACCTGTGAAGAATGACACGACTTCCTCTTGCCTCTTCCCTCATTCGAGGAAATAAATCCTTCTTTAAGACTCAAACCAACCGATCCTTAAACCTAAAAGCATAAACCCAACAGTTGGTGTTGCTGTTTTTTTTGTTTGTTTGTTTTCTAGTTTATTGTAAAGTTCTTTTAGTGATGCAGCAAGTTTGGTAAATAGTTTAAATGCTTAAATTATTCGGGTTTTTTAAAGGGATTTCTTTTGGTAAGTATTGTAAATCTCTGCGTACAGTCAAATGTGTGAAATTAGAGTAACTATTTACAAAGCAGATAGTTAATAAACCTTCCATTAAGCCTGAATTTTCTTATGGTTGTGATTTAATATTGTTATTCCAAATGTGTGATTTTATTTAGCAAGTAGCAGAAAACAATAATAATCATAATTTGCCAGATTAATTATAATTTTTGCCAGAGTAAAGGCCTGAAAAATTCAGCCATTGTAATTAGATCTTCAAACTGGTGAACTGAGTTTCTGAATCTAATGATTTTTTTAAATAATATTCCAATGTAATGTATATGAGTTTATAGCAATGCTTTAAAATCTGGATTGTTTGCAACATAGTAAACTAGTAATTATAACCTGAAAACAAATAAGAATGTGACTTTTCATGAAATAATACTTTGGATCAAGAAAATGCTTGAGAACATCAATACATCATTGCAACAAAAAATAGTTTTATCTTTCAATTTTTTTTTTTTTTTTGCAGAATAGGCATTTATATTTGTCAAATAATAAACAGATATGTAAAAGGAGGAACTGCATATTCGAATACTCAAATACGGCAAACGAATCCTTCACATCATAAATAGGACAATTTTTTTAAATCAAGAAGCTTTCTGCTGCTTCAAATAGCTGCCACTCTGATTCATTTGTGGTCAAGGTCTAGTAAAAAAGCCCTCTAGGCGGGGACATATTTCCCCAACTTAAAACGCTTTCACTGCAGACTAAATTCCTCACTAGTCAGTTTTCAACAAACCATCTTTTACTCCCGTAGTGGGCTTTTGTACCATTACTAAGGCATTCCAGGATTTTATTCTGTCTGCCAGTTCCTTAATTCTTTATTTCTGATGCACTCAAACAGCTCTTGTCCTTGTGAAATATAAACTTTTATTTAAGTGAAATAAAAGGATTTTTATTAAATGAAAAGAAATAAGCACTAAAACATGGATAGGGCATATTTTAATTCATTGTTGGACTTTTCCTTTGAATATTCATGGCTGAGAGTTTGCAAAACCATATTTCTAAAGAACTTTACCCACTGGTGGAACTATGAAAGGAATATTGATAAGGTAAACAAAGCATAATATGCTATTATTCATAAAAAGCAAAACAATTCAATAGAAATCTGCTCGCTGCTTCATCTTATGCTTTGATTAAATTATGATAAATGTGGAAAATCCTTTAATGTTTTGATGTAATGTTTAAAGTTAGCAGTAGTATAATTTATGCTGTTAATACTGTAACTCTTCCCTTTTAAATATTAATTTGACTCTGAATATGCACAACTTTGTAGCCGTTTTAGTAGCCTTTTTGATGTAGTCACATCACAATTTATGTAAAACAAAAAATGAACTTAGCTGAGTGGATTGTTCTCCTCATTTTAATTTTGCAGAGTTATAAATAGAAATATGTTTTACCATAATAATCCCCAAAGGAAAATGAATTCAGAAATTACAACAGAAATGATCAGCACTCTGATTAAGTGCAAATATAAAAGTAAATACTCAAAATTTGTATATAAGGATTTTTAATGGCACCTGAACTTATAGCAAGTTGTCAACTTTAAAATTATTCATTGCTAAAGCGATACTTTTAAAAAAAGCGAGAAAATAAATTTAATAAAGCACAGCAATAAAGGAGGAAATGTATGTACAGGATGCTATTTATACATAATCTTATTGTAAAGCCTGAGAAATAATCCCACGGTATGTGATAAAAGCACAACGGGAGTTTATTGATGTTATTTTTATTAACACCAGTAATAAGAATAGGCTTTTACTCTCCTGTGAAGTGTGTAGCAATACATCCACATATTATAGAAAACAGCAATATTTTACATTCATTACAGTACAACTCATAATAACCCCTTTCCAAAGGAGCGATTCAGCAATAACGACTGTGGTTGGTGGGTTTTGTGTAAACAATGTGATTTAAATGTAAATAATCCGTGAGATCACACAGCCTTAATGCTTTCAATCATCTTTTTTTTTATTATCTTCACATTGTTTAAAGCTCTTTATGATAACCAACAGGAAGAAGCCGGTATTATTCATCTGCTATGCTGCTGGAAAGGCTCATTAAAGGAATCTGTGGTACACTGTAGCAGCATTTAGCAGATGTTATGATCCTGGGGGTGTCAGTCAAAAGCTCCTCGAGGGGAAATCATCTTCACACCTGAGGCAACATTAATTTATACTTTCTCCCTGGATGAAGTCTAAACGATAGGCTCTCTGCTCCACTTTGCTTGATGCATCTTCAGAAAATTACAATACTGACGGAGAGCAGCCTGGAAGCGAGCGATCCAGCTTACAATCGCACACCAGAGTTCCAATGTGTTGATGTGAAAAGCTACATTCATGTGGACTTGTTAGATCTGATTGCATTTTCATTCATTTAGCCTGGAAGCGTAGAGAAAGCTACAGAAAACGGCTGAAAACGGGTTTAACCCCAACGACATTTCAAGCAGAATAGGAAATGTGATCTGAAAATAATACGATCAACAAAAAATATTCAGCTTTTAGACATCAGGTCGCAATTCATTCACAAATCTTAATGGATTTTCTTAGGCTTTGTAGAGTGGCAAGAAAATGATAAATGAAAGAAATCTCGAGAAGTGTGCATATACATTTAGTCCCTTTACCCAGTTCAACCGGTTGCAGTCAGCATAAAGGTCAGGGAGAAAGTCAGAGAGACGTTTAGAGGAGGGTGAGGTAATAAAACTAGATCCCGATTATTGAAAATCTCACTGAGCTCAGTTTATCCTCAACCTGAGTTCTGTTTGCAGTTTGTTGGGACAATAAGTAGAATGCAGGTAGAATCTATAGGGGACACAATGAACAGGAAAAAGATCTAATTAGGCTCAGTGGCCCACCACCTTGAACACAGTGTTCTTATGGTAAAACAGCATTATGGGAACATTATGGTGCAGGAACAGGGACGATGGTCTGATGGAAGGAAGCATGAAATAAAATCTGTTGGAAGCTGCAAAATAGCAAAGATCTCTTGATGTACAACCCGAACAACAACTGAATGGTTTCCATTAAAGCAGTCATGGGCTGGAATGGCCCAGACCCAAATCCAGCAGAGAACCAGAGGCAAGATTTGAAAAAGAGGAAATGTCTGTCTCTGATGTGGAAACCAAGTAACAACATTCCTAAAAAGGCTTGTAGCTTTAACTGCAGCTAAGGTGGCTCTAATAAAACTAAAACCATCTTTTATTCTAAAAAAAAAAAAATTATGCACCTCTTTGTTTTAATATGACATAGAAAACATAATAAACAAATTTAAATTTGTTGTTTGCATTTCTGTAAAGCGCTGTTTCTTTGGTGGAACTGCTACGAAATAATCTTATAATTCTACTTACAGACATGTTACAATTAATGGTACTTATGTGCAAATGCTAATACTCCTTCAGCCCCCAAAAAAAGAGAATTTACTGAATGGGAAGAGGAGCCCTGTCATGATGCTAGTGTTTGTTACATAAACACTGTGGCCTCTGATATATCCCCGTCCCCACAACATCTATGCTGTGACCTCTATATGTTGAGAACTGCTCATGCAAAGATAATATTGCTAAATATTCAGAACAAAAACATTTCTTGTTTTTGGAAAATAAAACCAAGACATTTTCTTCATACTGCCTCTTTACCAGAGTTTGGATTTCATGTCAAAAAGAGTCTCAGACTTTAAATATTCACATATTTTTTTTAAATTCACACAATTGTGCCATTGTGGGAACCCCAGAAAATTTTTAAGCGTCCAAGCTCAAGTTCAGCGAAAAGACTCCCAGGTTGGCTTCTTGACCCTTGATGGTCTGAGAGCCCAGCTGTCTGAGACCCTGCTGTGACCCTCCTGCTGCCCACAAATCCTGTGGAAGAATGCCAAACCAGCAGCAGACTTAAACCTGAAGTAGCTCCAGACCGCCACAGCGCCTGATGATTGTCTGTTCTGCTCCTTGGAGAAAGCATCTTCTTGACCTTCGATCTATCTGGCCTCAAGCTGCCCTCATTGCAGATTTATGCGATGCTGAAATTTACCAGCAACACCCCGGTAAGGCAGTGTTCAACATTGCACCAAATGAATGTTTGAGTACAAAACATAAAAAAAAAAAAATCCCGTTTTAAAGGGTGAAACTAAAGTAATAACCCCCTCAGGACTGCTTCCGGAAGGTGAAAATGTCCCGTTTCTTGGAGCCTCTCTTGCCGTTCAGCGGGGGGGTGGGGGTGTTGTTTGGAGAGGACGACGGGGAGGGTGAGGAGGGCTGAGGGGTGGAGGTGCCTCCATAGGGGCAGCTCTGTGAGTCCGGGTGTTCTCCTGAACACTCTACGGTGGGGATGTAGCGGCTGTCCCACATCCCTGGGCCGCACAGCTTGCAAAGGTCGTGCAGGCTGCAGGGCACCCTGGGAAGAAGGCGGAACTGGTAGAGGAGGCTGCGGGCCTGGAAGAGAGGAGCGACCATGAAAAAAATAAGATGATGCAAAAATTGGTCTGACGAAGAGGGCAAACATTGCAGATGCATGAAATAAATCAATTCCTGTGTTATCTCTTCGCTACAAGATAAGCAAAGAATGTCAAGGTCAGTCTCATGTGGAGTCTGTTTTTTTTTTTGGCTATATCTTCAATGTCTGCATGCCTGGTGTTAGGTTATCACATGCAAAACTCCCAGGCATCAACAAAATGTGTAACACCAGATGCATCCAAACAGAAACAAGCAGCATCCATAAAGATGAGGCAGCAGGCGCAGCTATTGTAGCAGGCGTACACACACCATTAATTCTCTGCTAGCCGTGACAGCGGCCTATTCTCACTCTGCTGCAGCACAGGAGCCCCCAGTGCAGACAGCAGTGAGTTTCAAATCACATCAAGAAATACTGGAGCATGTCTCCAGACTGATAAATCACTTTTTTTTTTTAAAGGGATTTGGATCAAACCAACCTTGTAGTGGAGAAAGGTCGAAATAACATTTGGAAGTTATTTGAAATATTTGTTTGGAAATCTTCAAAATTAAGACTTTATAAATAAATTTGGATCCAAAAATGTGGGCAGGAGAAACAAACAAGATTGTTTCCAAAACTTAAAAAAAAGGGCAGCTGTTTTACCAAAGACAGATAGATAGATGAACAAAGACCACAAATGGAAACATGCAACTTTTAGAAAATGGATCAAGAAGTCTGGATTTAAAATCACATTCTCTCATTTTCCTGACAACATGGAAGAGATGTGACATCCTGTTATGAAAGCTGCAGGGTTACCTTGCGTAGCACCAGCTCTCCATTCATATGCATGGAGAGATTACTGAAGTGCAGCAGCATTTGGTCGGTGGCGAGCTGCTGCTCCGTCACGTCCTCCCCGTACAGCACAATGATGGCCACGCACAGGAAGAGGTGGAAGTAGTCCGTCTACAAGGACACAGAGTCGGGTCAAAGACAGAAGATGAATGTGGCAGGATGTGCTCACTTAGTAACTAAATGAACTGGATCCAATCTGTGTGACAGAATCCAAAAGGAAAAGGTGCTTCAAAAAAAAAAAATCTGGAAGCTAACAAAACTAATAGACTTTATCACCATAATATGTCAATAATCGTTAGTTTAATCTAGACAATATTTCTTTTAAAGAAAAATAATTACAACATTTACAACTAATGATTAAATTACATTTTTGTGCCGATTGTAACTGATTCGCACCTCAGGTTAGAAATTGGAAAAGAAAAAACTAATGAAACTAATTTTATAACAAAACAAGCTACAATTAAAAGGTTCTTATTTAATCAGGGGAAACTAGAATAGATTCATTACACAGAGTCAAATATTTCTTCCATATATGATGTTTATGTCTCACAGATAATAAAAACCCGAATTCAGCATCAGATTTTAGGAACAGAATCCTGCCTGAGGTTTGGGAAATTAACTGCATATTCAATATAATCACAATTTAGAAAAACACTATTTTCTAATTGCTGACAAACTTAAAACATTATATTTAACAAGAGTAAAACATTACATGTCCAACTCCAGCCCTTTAGGTGGTGGTAATGTACTTAGTGTGGGTTTGCAGCCACACAGAAGGGGAGAGAGAGTTGCAGCTAGCATGCATAATAGTAGAGGTAGGAATTTATGCAAAGGTTGCAGTAAAGTCCTGCAAAAATGGACTCTGGACAAGCAAGCTTTCAAGGTCATGAAAAAACAAACCCTGGAGTGAAACGTATAAATGCTTGTCCTTAGTGCAAAGGAAAAAATCACAATAAAAATCACAATATTTGTTGAAAATACTGAATGAATCAACCAATAGTTTTTTCAGGCTGATACCTAACCTAAGTCTAACTGATTCCCGTTATGTTCTACCATCTCTGGGCCGGTACTGCTTTCTCTTCCTCTATTTCCATAATAACAATGACACAATGATAACAGAAGTTACACAATACCTTTTAACAAATTCAAGAAAATTTATTGAAGAAAAAAGTGGCAATATGTGATCTAAAGACATGGCTGCTGAAAGCACTAAAGAATCGGCAAAGACATGCACATATCGGTTGCTGATGCAAGAAAAAATACAGCAAAAAAAATTGATGATCAGTCTATCTTTAGCAAAAAGAACACACAACAGCATTTAGCCAAATAAATAGAAACAAAACCAATGGGAGAAGTACTATATAAGCATAAAGACTGAACAAAATCTTATCTTAGACCTAGACTAGAAAATCTGTCATGTTCATTTGCCTCAAAATGACAACTGTTTAATTAAGGACTAATGCAAATAAAATATTAGATTTATCTGTTTTTATTGTGCGACTATGATACTTCACTAATTTCAATGGATGCAAACATTTCAGTTCCAATAGTGTCATTTGAAACCAATGAGCAGTTACTCTACATACTCCATTTCACACAAAACCCAGCAGAGAACAATCATTTGCCACCCACTATGACATCAAACATCCTCTTCACAGAAAAATCTGATATCAATCAGAAATTCTAGCTTAAAGCTTATCAGGTGGATGACTTTTAACTGCCTAACCCGAGGTTTCACACAAAGACGCTTTATCTCCTCTATCTCCACCTGTAGCTGCAGATCCGAACATCTCGCAGAGGGTATGAACAGACAGCAAGAGGTGCCCGAAATCAGCCTTCAAGAGAGGGTGTGTTTAACACAAGGAATGCATCGTTGCTACGAGGTTCCTGCAATCTAAAAGATGCAGTTTAAGTCTGCAAGCTTCTTTTTTTATCTATGTTGAAGCAATAAACATGGTTGTGCAGAAAGCTGCAGAGATGTGAAATATGCTAATCTTCAAATCCATGCAGTATTTAATGAAGTGATTAAATGCCATCAAGTCTTAAACATTTTTTCATCTCTTATAAAAGGATTACAAGAGCCTGGGGTGTCAGGCTTTAAAACAATAAGGTTTGGTATTTGGTGGTGCAGACTTCCTGGAAAAAAAAGAAAATAGGACTATATTCCTCTGTATTGCTTTTCAGCATATGCAAACTTCTTTCTAACCCGTATAAGTAAAGGAGCAGTTGGACTTGGTCCTGACCTGGTAGTGTGCCCAGCAGGCCTCCCACATGCGCAGCGCTTCTGTGTCGGGGAACTCTCTCTTGAAGCAGAGCAGGATCCAGCGGTGGCAGAAAAGCAGCTGCAGGCCGTCCTCTCCCAGGCGGGTCAGGTGCTGGTGGAAGCGGGGCAGCATGACGCGCAGCAGCTCCCGCAGGTACATCTGCAGATTGACATGTTATTCATTTCACATCAGCGCTGCGGGGGAACAGCTGGAACACCAGCCTGTTGGACACTCATGTCGCCATATGTGTCGCTGTGTTTTATTTCCTGACCTCAATGTGCAAAAATCTATTATTTATGTGCGGGTTTAAACAGGCTTTTAAGGTCCCCTCATGCAATGTTTTAATGAATAAATGAGATATAAATAGATTTGAATACCAGTGCAATCCCAAAAATAAACGTTCAAACGAATTTTTCTGTTGACCTAAAAATAAAAGCGTCAGACCAACGCTTAAAGTACCACCTTGATTAGTATCTGCTTCCAGTTCTATTTGAAAATTAATAAGCTGAAATCGACCAATATCAAAAATATGTCTACAAAACTAAATAAAGAGAACTTTACGTTTTTATTATATTTCTATTACAGCAAATAAATCAGTTCTTTTTCTAAACCATTACTGTAATCTTTATTTTTTTAACATAATCTCAGCTCCCCAGAGAGTTTCACAAGCCCAACATTTGTAGCCAGGCTGCTAAAGTTAGTGAGGAGCCTTATATCATTGGTTGAAAGAAAAACATTTAAAAAGCAGATTGTAGACTTTAGATAAGGATAAAGGGCTACTATAAATATGTGAATCATTTACCATTTACCATAATGGGGGGTATTTAACAAAACACACATTTAAAGGTTAAAGTGCAAAGTTCGTCATGGAAAGGAGACATGCTGGGGGGTCTGTTTGGCTTTTTCATACAAAAACACTTCATCATGTTTAATGTGATAGACTGACTTAAAATAAGAGCATAATTGTGAAGTTCTCCTTTTTTTTTTTTTTTTTTTTTTTTTTAGACGGAAATACTGAATAGTGTGAAAGGCAGATCCGTTTAGCCCTCTTTCACTTTGCTCTCCCTAAAATCAAGTTGAATTAAAAAGCTGTAAGAAAGGCCTTGGTAACTTTAGAGGAGCTGCAAAGAATCACGGCTCAGGTGGAATTTTCTGTTAACAGGAGATCCTTGTTCCACGTTTTATTTAGAACATAAATAAAACTAGAAGCTTCTCTAAACGGATAGGGAAGAAGTTTAATATTTTTGCAAACGTGGCGAGATGTGGTAAAGGTTGAATAGTATTGTGTGGCTGCTTTTCTTTAGCAGGGACTGAGTTGATGGCAGGACAGATAGGATGAAATACAGAGTTACCAAGAAAGAAACCCAGTCATGTCCTTCCTCCTTTAGATGTACATTTTGTTTCATGCTGAAGGGATCGTAGAGTCGTTTATTTTAAGTGTGTAGGAACACATACAGGTTGCGGGACGTGTGTTAGTGGCTGCAGAGCTTCACCTTTTAGCATCAGTAAAAGAACGTGAATCAAATCTAACTGATTTTGAACTTTTATTCTAAGACTAGGAGCTTTAATGCATATTTTCTGCTATTAAATGTAGAAAACCTCACATCATTTCATTTTACAATCATGCACTCATTGGCCTAACGCCTTAAAAAAGCATTGAAAAGCTTCAATGGTTTAAATGGTGCTGTTTGAATGTCTTTGATGTGCAGAAATTGCTATTGGCAGCCAACAAAAGGCTTCATAGGGTAGGAAATGAGGGATCTTTCTACCAGCTGCCGCTCCATATCTTCGTCTCGCGGGGAGCTGATGAAGATGGTTTTCTCCATGAGGCCCACGAAGCACCAGAACGTGTCGCTTTCGTCCTGGATCTCAGTGAGCAGGGGGGCCACCAGGTCGGACATGCCCTGACAGTAACCCATGTCGGGATTAAACACTGCATAGTTGAGCAGAATCCGCCTGGGGGGAGAGCAGAGACACACATCTGAGTTCTGACGTAACATCTGCTGACAGAGCTTATAATGTAGGGGGGGGCAGCAGAGGAAACCCATGAAAACTTCTCTTCCCTCTCAACACCCTGAATGTCTTTTATTAGAAAAAGAAACAACAATCCCCCACCACCCCTTCACACATGCACACACGTTTTCCTCTCTTCTAGCAACCAGGGAGCTAATTACGGACACCTCTTTCTTCCTCTCCTTTTTTTGGACCTGTTCTATTTTAAAGAAAACTTCCCTGGTCGTCTTCATGCATTAGTAACAAAAGCACAAACAAAGCCAAAAAACCCAGAGGGCATTACTTTGTTCTGCTGCAACATTAGAGTGAAAATTGGATGAGTTTTTCCTTCTTTTGTTTTTTTAGGAGAAATCCAAACGAGGACACAGGACATGCACCTCAGCAGCGGTTTGAAACCGAATGAACCAGAAAAACATGGGTGTGACTTATCAGTAACCGATAACCACAGGCTGGCTTTAGATGCAGAATAACTCCAAGACAAACACCAGGAGCCTCCAGGAGAGTCACAAAATGCCTAATATGCTACTCAAACCCTCCTGCTCCTCATTTAGAAAGCCATTAGCCCCAAGTATGAATCGAAAGTGCTCAGACGGCTTAGTTGGAGTCAATAAAGCATGAAACTCATTTGCTTCTCCTCCAAGGTTCAGAATATGAAATTAACAGTGTAGGTATGGCTGTGCTTGGAGTGGGTGAGTGGCAATGATGAGGAGAGAGGGATGGAGGGAGGAGAAATCAGTGATGTGAGACCTCATGATCTCCACGTTTGGGTTATTCTCTCCTCTGAAGAAGTGGTTGCTGCGATCCGTTCGGACCACGTCTTTATCCACCGTGAACTGGACCTTTCTCCAGAATTCGCTGTGCTCCTCGGGGCTCATGGATAATCTGAGAAATCAAACAAATACAGGCAGAAACAAGGGATGCTTATTGTGTTTTTTATGCACGTTTATCATCTTAAATATATAATATTTAGTAAGCTGTTACTCTAGCCCTAATAAGCTGGAAAAGCTCCCCTAGAATGTAAGCAGCAGAGCCAAGTGCTCCTCTGAGGATACCACCACAGCCATCTATCCCTTCTTAGATGCTGGGCAGCACATTAACAGTGTTCTCTGTCTGCACTAATGTACTCAGGCCCCAACAAGCAGAGGGGATTTAATTAACACTGTTTGTTTTCCATGCTGCCCCACCAGGAATAAAGCCCTGATGCGCACCTGATGCAACGCCGTGCAACTGTTTAGTTTGAGTTCTGTGCGTTTGTGCCGCTGGACTCTCCCCAGCCACTGTCGTACCGCGTGTTTGGGTCATTTCAGTGGTTTTATGGGTCAGCTGTTCAGTGAAGGACATGCTTCTTAAACAGTTAGCCAAACAGCTTTTTTAATGTGTGAGATCAAAATCTTTGGCAAAATATCTAAAGTTAACTAGCTTAGTTTTTTTCCCTTTATTGTCATTAAACTGTCACCAGTACATAGCAACGAAATTAACTTTCTGCATTTAACCCTTTCCCTCGGGGAGCAGTGGGCTGCCATTGTGCAGCGCCCAGGGAGCAGTGTGAGGTTAAGGGTCTTGCTCAGACACCCAGAGTGGCAGTCTGTGGGAGTGGGGCTCAAACTCAGAACCTCAGGATTCCAAGTGCAATGCCCCAACCACTAGACCGCCACTACCGGCCGAGTGGTTAGGAGCAGTGAGAAGTTAGATTTGTAGTTAAAAAGAAAAAGTCCAGATCTCAATCTCTCATTAGCAGCTGTTACGTAAGCTCCCCACTTTCAGAAGATGTAAGCGCTCTTTGAGTTCAAAGTTCAAAGATAGTCTTTACTATAGAACTGTATGTTGATGTTTCTTATAAGAGCCAGTACATTTACAGAGATTAAAGTTACTGTAATGTGACAAAAAGTAAGAACTTTGAAGAAATCTAAAGAATGTCCTGAATAGACTATTACCGGTACTAAAAAACATTTTTTAAATCCATTGGAAACTGACAATGGTTTTCTGATGGAAAATCCTTTAACATACAGCAGATAAATGAGTTCATCAAGAATATGGACACAAATAAAACCACCATTAGCAACATTAGATATGTTTAAGGCAGTAACTGAGGCTAAACAGTTTCTCTGTTCTCTGCAGGGTTTCACTTAAAGCTCATAAACTCTGAAATTAGTTTTCAGCTAAAAAAGGTGTTTCAATAAAACTTTGCTTGCTTTTTTAAAACCAACAGGACGTAACCTAAAATATCTACAGTTTATCTATTGTTAAAGATTATACTGAATTATATTTATATGAATCTGCAGCATCAATCAATGCAGTTTTATATTCATACAATTAATTAGGAACACTATAAAGCCTTAGTTATTTAAACAAAACAATAAAATGAAGATGTTGGAAGGGCAAAATTGAGCTGGATGTTTCTGAAGTGTTTTTTTTAAGAGCTAAATATCACTGACAGAAACAAACTTCCTCTTCTCTGTAACGAAATTGACTAAAAATAGATTTCTGTTGAATTACAGACTCTTGCAGTCCCAAATGCTATCGCTGTATTCATCTTATTTTACTTTAGAAGGTAAAAAGCAAAAAAACAAAAAAAACAATAAAAAACAAATGGGGATATTGTTAATTTTGCCAAAATATCTGCAAAGTCCCAAACATAGATTGTAGTGTTTAAATATTCAGCTTTTGTTCGATGGAGGCTGCACTCTGATTTGCAGACACAAGGTTGGGGGGGGGAAGCAAAAGCACAGGCTAGTATCCTGGCTCCTAATGATCAACCAGTGGACCTGGAGGGCTGCTGGAGGCTCTTTAAAGGAATCAACATCGGCGTCAGAATAAGGAGGCTAATTAGCTGACTTTTGGTGCACTCAGAGAGATAATAGCCTGTACAAATGAAATATGTCCAATTACCATCGCTGTGCTGCAGAACCTGGGAAGATGTATGAACGCTTAACCTTGAGATGGAGTTGTGCAGATAAATCACGGCTCTGGGATCTGCTCATGTGTGCCTAGCTGTGTCCGCGCATTCCAAAGTTGTCCCCCTCCACCCTCCGACATGTGAGCATGATCTGATCTGATAAGCGCTGACATGTTTTCTCTCCAGAGACCTTTTATATCACACCCGGCACCTCCCTTTAACACTTCTCTGATTGTGCCTATTGATTGCTCAGCGCCTGCGATGGGAAGCCACAACAGACTCACATATGGTTTAATGTTTGACTGAGTGAGCATTTGGCAGCCAGCGCCGCAGCCCCGTGTCTCCAAAGCGATTTTCCTGTTATGGAACGGAGGTACAGATGTTACCAGCAGGACGTCTTCAAGTAAATCAAAGACTTTTGGCTGCGTCTTAATAAATGAAAACATTAGTTCTATGGTCTGAGGGCTCATTTTTATTCGTCTTAATGATTATGGATTACTTTTTTTTAAAAATCTGCTTCCTGAAATCCTAGAATAAGACACAAGATTAAAAAAATAGATTTTAAAAAACAGAAACGTGATGATGAGGAAGAGCTAATAACTGTCCAGCAGACAGACGGTCATTAACCTCCACACTAGAGAGTAAGCCACAGAGGAAGCGGGGAGTTCACTGTGTACTGAATTCATGCATCTTATTTGAAAGTCAATTGCAATGAAAAGCTGTGGTAGCTGAATATGTAAAGGCAACACTATTAAAAGCATTATGTAGAAATGCCCCTTCAAGAATGTAAGCATAGATTGGAAAAGCCTCAAATGCTGGTCCGGTTATGTTTTTCTAAGAGGCACAAAACAGAAACAAGTGCAGGAAATAGGCTAAACCTCTTGGATTTATGGTGTTAAAACAGTTCTGAACCAGAAACAGCACGAATAAGGTGCTTTAGATCATCCTTTTAGGGGTGCCTGATTAACAAAATTGGTAGCTGGGGATAATCTTAAATACCAAGTTGGACACTGAAAGTAAAATCTCTGCATTTCAGTCACCTGTTTTTCTTTATGACTCTCTTCTGTACTTTTATGTGAACTCATGCAGAAAGGTATCAGTGCTCTCATCATATTGTTCAGTAGATTCCTGCAGTTGTCAGAGTATAAATCCAGAGACCTATTTAACAAAAGCAGAATTCAGAAATTCCAGAATAAGAGATAAAGCCAGATCTGGTCTAGCTTGAAGAAAGCACCCTGGGTTTATCTGTTTCACAAAGGCCAAACCAGGCTCCACAGGTGTGGCTACGTCTAGCCAGGTGTAAGTAATCCAGCTAATTGCACGTCTGCAGTTTTCTTAAAGCGACAATGAGGTCAATCATAGATTGATTGACTTAGCAAACAATTACAGATCAACTAAATACCTTAACAGCATAAAATATGCATCCCCTTAACCACTTCACTTAACTTACGCCTTCAAAATTTAAGAAAATATTGGTAATTTTTTCTCAAATGGACAAATATTACTCTAAAAATAAGCTAATATGGAAGAAACAGATCTTGCAGTTTGTAGACGTCTGTGGGAGACTAGGGATCAAATCTTGGGTACATCATAATACTCACCTATTAAAACCTTTATCACACAGAAGATATCAGTAGAAGTCCCCTTTGCCTCAGATTTAACCTGCTTTTGTGATGGACATGACAGGATAACCGAGAATCTACACAGGCAAGGATATACACTGCTAATACTGAATACTTAATACTAATACTGAATGGAAATCAAATTTATTAACCGATAGAGGCCTGGATTTGAGCCACACACAAAATTAAAGTTAAAGTACACTACAACCTGATCCAACTTTGATGCAATGTCCTTAAAACAAGTCAAAATGAGGCTCAGTATTGTGTGTGGCTCAATAAGCCTGTATGACCTCCCTACAATGCCTAGGCATGCTCCTGATGAGATGATGGAGGTTCTAATGAGGGATATGCTTCCAGACCTGGACTAAAGCATCCACCAACCTGGCCAGTCTATGGTGCAATGTGATGTTGGTAGATGGCAGAGGTGTCAAGTAACGAAGTACAAATACTTTGTTACTGTACTTATGTACACTTTTTAGGTATCTATACTTTACTCCACTACTTATGTTTCTCCCTACTTCTGACTTCTACTCATTACATTTTCACACAAGTATCTGTACTTTCTATTCCTTATGTTTTTAAAACTAACGTTACTCGTTACTCTTGGCTTCGGTTTAATGTTTATAAATATTAATTTAACGTCATGTGTGCCATCCAATGCAGATCTTTGGCTCCATCCACATCTAGTGAAAACTAGTGTGATTGGATGAGTCGTGTAACGCAAACACTCATTGGTTAGCTAAAGGAAATCATCAGAAGCAAGCAGGTGTTCTTCAAACTGCAAACGTGAATTGTCGATGCCATGCTACAAGGTCGGATTCAGAAAAAGATGTTGAAATGTCTGAAAGGTCGGACACAGGCGAGAGAGTATCCAGAGATGGAGACGGAGACCAACCAGACCTCCCTCATCCTTGGCCCTGTCTCAAAGAATTTTTCGAAATAGTCGAAAAATTGAGCTTTCAATTCATATAGTGGTAGCTGGCTGTATATTTTAAAGGGTTACTTTATACTTTTAAGTAGTTTTTGGAGCACATACTTTTTCACTTTTACTTGAGTTATGAGTTCAAGTTGATACTTCAACTTTTACCAGAGTGTTTTTAAACTGCAGTATCTATACTTCTACTTAAGTAACATATGTGTGTACTTTTGACACCACTGCTAGATGGATGGAGACACTATGTCCCCTCTTTTATTAAAACATTCTCTTATTCACACCAGTAGAAAAACTTGCCCTTAATAACTTTAACAAAGGAAGAGCTATTTTAGAAGAAAGAAACAGGTTAGAAGGCAGTTAGATGTTTAGATAATGTAATTCAGGTGGTAAAGGTATGTATTTGACAGTAGGCCTAACCTACTTTTATCTGAACGTCCACATTTTCTGTTAACAAAATTACCTTCATACTCCCGAGAGGCAGTCCAGCTGATAATATTATTAGGGAATCCTGGATCAAAAAAATATAAACTAGTCAATCTGTCCAAAAGTTTCTTTTGTGATCTGTAGCCTGATCCAGGTTACATGCAATACTGGATAACTCCATTGCATACTACTGATGTATCCAAATCATGGAAAGTTGGTTTGTAGAGATTTATCAAATAAATGGTTGGTTTTTAGTTTTGGTTCGGCCATCTTGTTGATCAACTCAGCAGAGTCAAAAACTGATTTTACCTCCATCCTGCTCTTTAGCGTGCAAAAAAGCACAGGCCGAGTATTAAGGTGTTCAGCTGTACATGATCAGACTTTTCATTAGGACGACCTTTCTGTATAAAAGAGTTTTATGTAAAATTCCAGTTTTTGGGCAAACTGAATTATGGGTTTGACTGAATGAAAATTAAACATAGATAAATGTTTGAGATACCTCACACACTATACTATTTGGGTTACACTTTATGAACGGAATTGGTAAAGTAGCTTTGCAATGATTTTGTTTTTTGAGGCCCACCTTTTCTGCTGGATGTCATGATAGTGAGCTCGTTTCTGCAGCCTCCAGGCCTCTCTTTCCTGAGAGCTGGAGTCGTAGCTGTAGTACTGCAACAGAAAGGGCCACACCTCGCCTCGGATGGACGGGTCGATGCCGCCAAAGAAGATGGCCTGTCAAAGAAGGGGTAGGTGAGTTTACACGACCAATACGAAGAAAGGAACATGTTGTTCTGCCGGGGCATGCACACACAACCTGCTGGAATGCAACTTTCTGCATAATGCTGCAAAAAAAGAGAAAACAATGAGTGTTTATTTAGTATGCCCAGCGAAAACAGGGGCCTTCTGTTTCTTTAATTAAGCTTATGCTGAGAAAAGTCTTGGTCACGGTCTAACTGCCACTGAGTCATTACAGTAGACTAGTAAACCAAACACAGAGTCAACTCCAGAGAACCCAAATGACTCAGAGGGGGCACACTGGCCTGGACATACCGACTGATTATTTACAGACCGAGATGCTGACTGAAACTGAAACAGAGAAGCTTGCAGGCTGACTTTCAATGTGACTCGAGTACAAAATATAGAAGCTAAAGGTGTGAAAATGGCCGACAGATGAAAGCGAGTGAGTGAAACATCTTTAGATTTGATTACCAAGGATGATAAAAAATCATCCACATGCTGTAAAAGAAAAAAAATCCCAAAAAAATCTTTCATGTGAAAAATACAGATTTTATAATCTTATTTGAGTTCACAATTCTTAAGCTTCGGTGTAAAAACAGTTATATCCCAACAGTCAGTTACTATCATGGCAACTAACCTATAGTGGAAAAGTTCACAGTGTGGAAGGATAGATGGTGTGCAAGGAAGGAAGGAAGGAAGGAAGGAAGGAACTCTACCTAAGTAAGGCAGTGACACAAGGGACACAAGGAAGGAAGTAAAGACAGGTGAGGGAAAGTATGAACATAAGAAATCCGTAAAAATTCAAAAAATATCCACTGGACTTGGTTTCCAAGATTTGAAGACATTTCGCCACCTCTCCAGGAAGCTTTCTCAATTCGTTTGAATTGAGAAAGCTTCCTGGAGAGGTGGCGAAATGTCTTCAAATCTATGACTATGACCTGGATGACGAAGAACTTTCATCAGCAACATAAGAAATCTAGCAGCTGCAATGGATTATTTTAAAATTAACAGTATTCTTTTTATGATTTTTATTCAACCAATCCAATTCATGTAAAAAAAAGCTTTTATTTTACAAAGTTGGCTTCGTACCACCTGAAGATAATTTCAAGAGAACTAAGGTCACAATAATATTTAGTGAAACTAGTCGATTACTGCAAGAGTTCTGCAAAAAAAGAAAAGAAATAATTAAAATAAGGCAGCTGCAGTTGATCCAAAATGCTGCTCTTGCTTAGACAACAAAAAATAGAGCTATAATTCCAGATCTGTAAACAGGAATTCTGTAAACGGGAACTGTAGCTCAGAATAGAATTTTAAATATTTCTATTAGTTTATAAATTGCTGAACGGTTAAGCAACAAGTAGTTGCAGTACAGTTCAATCAGGTCCTCTGGTTGCACCAAATATCTGGAATAAACACGCAGAAACTGGAAAACAGCTGAAACACTAAATTTCTTTAAATCAAGGATGAAGACCAACCTGTGTAGAGCTGCCTTTGATTAGGAGCATGCAAACAAATCCATGTGGAAAGCTGCTCTACACAACATGTCTTTTTACATATTGACCTTCATGCATTTCTGATTTATGGTTTTATTGTTTTTACTGCACATTTACTTGCTATTATGATGTAAACCACTTTGAATTGCCTTGCAGCTGAAATGTGCAGTACATTTTAATTTACATTTTAATTTACTTAAATAAATTAACTTTCCTCAATTTAAAAACATTTTGAACTTAAACTTTTATTGCCCGTGTCAAATTACATCTTCTTCCAGCTTTTCCCTTTCTGGGGTCGCCACATATGACTCACCATTCCCATTTCAAATGGCAAAGACATAAATATGAGTGTGTGTTCTCTTGTTAATACATAATAGGGGCCAACTGCTCCTTATGGAGCCCGATGCCTGGACCCCACACAGGGAATTGCTGTTTTTTGGTCAGGGGTCCTGTTTAGGACTAAGGTGTGAACCCAGTTTAGGTTGGTGCTAGGATTAGATATCAACTCGTAATGGTTAGGGTTAGGGTCACGATTAGGCTGTAGAAATTAATGGAAGTTAATGGAAAGGCCCCACAAAGATAGTGAGACAAGTTTGTGTGTGATCCTGTTTTGGCATCAGTACAAGGAGCTTTTTTCTGGTTTAACCATCAAACTGAGGACAGTTTGTACCCAAATGAGGAAAATATGCTTTTCCTAACTTCATTTTTTGCCAACAGTTTAGGACTAAGGTCTGAATTAAGTTTAGTTCAAGGTTAGGTGGAGGTATGCTGGTGAAGATTCCCAGTGATCCAGGTCATAGTCATTCCAAAAAGGTAAAAAAAAAAAAAAACAATCCACTGGACTTGTTGAAGCAAAATGTATTCAGACTTTGTAACAAAGTCTAGTAGATAGTTATTTTTTTTACTTTTTTGGAATAAATTAGGTGGAGGTATGCACTGGTAATGGTTAGGTGCAGGGTTTTTAAATCAGGGTTAAAGAGGAGAGCTCTCTGCACAAAGCATTCTGGGATATATCTGCCTCTTCTGAGGCCTTTCTTTTCTTCTCATTCACTTATAGACACTTTTTCTCTTAAGACCCTCTGCCATTTTCAAAGAACCGTGGTGAAAAAGGTTAGTTTCACTGACTGTCTGAAACCGTTGCTCACCACACATACGGCTAAAAGTGCGCATGCACAGAAAAAAAAAAAAAAAGGCTAATGGGACGATGTAGGACGGCCTTACGTAAACATATCACCAGAATGATAGACAATTAGGAGGACCACTTATTTAGATGATCTGCCTGGAAATAAAAGATTGCCCTCTCTACCTTTAACCCATAGTAAGGGTTGATTATGGACAAAAATAAAGAAAACAAAAAGAAAAAAGAAAAACACTGAAGTAAATTGGAGGCTACACATGGTCACACGGTTCTTACAGGTACTTGAGGGAACCAACAACACATCCCCATGAATAGAAGTTACCATTTGGCAACTCAGCTTCCCATACCCATGTGTTTAATACATACTTATTAACACATACTAATTACATTTTTAGGAGTGCACCGATTTATCAGCCGGTCGATTGATGAGACTTAATTTTTGTAATTTTAGGCAATTGGTGATCGGCCAATACTTATAAGCGAAACCCGATCTTTTCCACCAATCTGATCGACTTCTATAAAGGTAAACGAACCACTGTCAATGCCCTAAATTTGAATTTATATTTGAGAGCAGTTACTTCAGAAGTTTTAATTGTTTCACGGGCAATCAATGTTTTTTTTCAGTAAGATTAAAATATCTTGTGTCATGTGATCTTAAAACAACTGATTGTTTCAGAAATCTAAAAAGAAATCTGTTGGTCAAAAATGGAAACGGCATTTCAGGCTTTTTAAAGGAAATCGGTGATCGCCCAGAAATGAATGCACCCATAATATATATTTTTTTATTAACATCCTTTTGTTAAAATCTCATCAGAATGCTTATTGTCTTATGCTTCTAACAGAAACCCCCATCTCTATCTTCAAGGTCATGATTCTGTTAGATAACCAAATAAGTTGATTTATCATTTCAATAATTGCTTAATTATGGGTCTAAACATACAAGTATGAGTCAGGACTCTTATTTTATCCAACATTTCTAAGATCTGGAAGCCATTGAAATGTAATTCTGGAGTGTATAAGGCTGTAGAAACCCTGGATGTACCTTCCGGAGCTTGTACTCCTCCTCCACCTGCCCGCTTTGGTTGAGGTGACGTAGCCAGGTGCTGACGTCTACTCGCCGGTAAAGCCTCTCCTCTGGGTGGGTCTCAGTTGATGGCAGGGTGGGCCTCTGGATGGAAAACTGCATGCATGACTTTTCGTTTGACACCTTCAGGGTGAGTGAGGAGGAGGAATAAAAAGCTGAGTGGAAACTTATGGATAAAAAACCTGAAGAAAGACTGAACTTTATCTAAATCTAACCTGGTCCTTAGGTTGGGTTTCCCTGCAGCACTTCCACTGCTGGAAGACCTCTGCTAGCTTGTCTAGACCAGCATGATGGAAGTGAAGGATCTTATACTGGCTCTCTCTGCTAGCTATCACAAGCTGGCCACTGGTGCATGCATCATCACTGCAACACAACAATAAATGATGCAAAGACGAAGTATAAAAGGGTTCAACATGACCCAGAAGGAATCCCAGAGGACCTCAATTTACTCTCTGCTGACCTGAAGAAGAGCCTCAGTGACCTCATGTGACCCAGATCCACCCTGAAGACTCCACACAGCTGCTCCAGCGCCAGCAGCTTCTGTTGCTCCTCCCAGCGCATGGCCTGCGACTGACAGCCGCCCTCAGAGGGGGCGTGGCTATCCAGACTGGATGTGGAGCTCACCGAGTGGTTCATGGACTCCTCGCACAGCTCTCTGCAAAACATGACAGAATTTGTTATAAAACTAAATGTTAAAACAGAGACTTTTCTATGATACACCAACATTAAGATAAGCATATCTCTTAAGTTGTTTTTTTTTTTTATAAGTAACAGTTCTAATCACAGAGGTTTGGTGTGCATTTTTCCTCAGCTCTCTTCATTCTAACACCCAAAAGTAAACTAAATATATTATTTTGATTCAATCTTCTTTGAAAAGAAAAAAAAGGTGTACTACCTGCAGTAAGAGTAAATATTTTCTTAAACAGAGATTGACCAATTCAGGGTTTTTCTTAAAAAGCCAATGCAAATACTTGTGTCATGAGTCTAACTGATACCAGTTGTGCTCCTGAGATTTTTGAGCGGATTCTTAGAGCAGATATAGCTTTTTCTCCCTCTCCAATATATAATAAAAAGGATACAATGATAAAAAAATTTTTTACACAAGTATCAGTTTAAACAAAATAATAAGTATTTATTAAGAAACAAACAAAACATAGCTAATGGAGGGAGCAGCAATGCATGCTCTATACATGATCTTGATGCATGGCTGCTGAACATGGAAGTGTCGGCCGATACAGATACAAGAAAAAAACAATACCAACCAAAAATAACAGCTGGCCAAATGATCGGTCTGTTGTTATACAACTTTAACAAGTTCTAAAAAGGTCTAAATCCAGAGAAAGAGATGTGCAATATAGCCATAAACTTTCAAAATTAAAGATATGATAAATGCGACAAATGTGACATCAATAGCATATTTGATCACAAAAAGTCCATTATTTCAAGATTTATCCTAAAAAAAAAGCAACAAAAAGATAAACAAAACTGCTTGAATAAAAATAATATCTTGTTTGGTTTAAAGCACCTGATAAACACATCACTCTATGAAAAATTCAAGGTGTTAGACCTTTAAACTTGGCTCTAATACATTAACTTATTTAATCTAATTCATTAAATGTTCTTCAGAAGTCACCTAATTAGTAAAAAAAAAAGAAAAAAGAAGGCATATTATCTAAGCTCAAAGTGAACACTGCCTGACTGTAGAAAGTCACGAGTCATGCAGGGGGAAAAAATCCAGCATGTGGAAGGGAGATGATCTTTCTGGTCTATGCACAGAACACAAAGCGGAGGCGTCAACATTAACATGGTGTCTCCACCGTGAGACTTCGTGGTGGCGGCATCATGCTGTGACAAAGACTTTCTGCAGCCAAAGTCAGGGGCGCTATAAAAAGAAAGGAAGAAATCCTAAAGAAGCAAAAGACTGAAAGCCTTGAGACAGCAACCTCGAACCTACAGCCACACCTGCATTTATGAGGGCGGCCTAATGAATCTATGACATACTTAAAAATGTTCAGCTATATTGCAAAGATCTATAGATGATAATAGTAATAGAATATCTACCGTACCTGGAGCAAAGGCAGTGTGTACTGTACAAGGTAAATGAAACGCATGCATAAAAAATATCTCATAATCTAATTTGGTTTATTGTCCTTTTCTGTTACACAGTTTTTCTTGTGTTTTTATACGAGCCTGGATGCTCTTCAGCAAACAGAAATGTTAATTCTTTAGCAGAATCAGTCAGAGATCAAATAAAATAAAGGTTAACCTAAGTAACTGCTATAAAAATAAGGAAAACAATACGATAAAATCGACACATTAAAATAAAACCAGCAAATTCCGTTCATAGTTTTGCATTAAAGAAAAATAACTGTCAGCTAATTAGTAATCGAATAATCATTTCCTGGAGCAAAAAGATTTTAAAACAAGCAATTTGCTAGAAAAACAATCCACTTGGAGCAGTAATTAAAACAAAACTATACAATACATTTTGCATCTAGGATGAAGTACCCGTCTGTAAATATGCTTTAAGAATATCCTAAGTGTTATTTCTGAGCACTGAATAACAGTCTTTTTTTTTGTTTTTTAATTTATCAGCCATTTTTTAAAAGCTCAAATGCTTTTTTATTGAAATGTGTAAATTTACTGAGTTTCTCTTTTTAAAATAACGGATTAATCAAGAAAATAATCGCTTGATTAGGGGCTAACTAAAATAATCAACAGCCCTAATCCTTTTGCATAAATAACACGTAGAGTCAGACTAATGACGGAGAAAACAGTGCAGGGAAATCTGCAGCTTAGGGCTCCATCTGTGTTAGTGTCTCTATTACATTCCTCTAAGAGCCTGCGAATAGGAGGAATGCATGAAGGCTACCAAACGCACACACACACACACATAATAAAATCTGCACAGACACAAATCACACTGTCCACCGTCCAATTTCCCTTGTCATTCCCCTCATAGCAAGCGTGTTGTTCCCGGCACTGAAACCTGAGCTGAGAGTCCCAGCTTGCAGGAGGAGAAATGCAATCAAAAATACACAGGCTTTAAAAAAAAAAAAAAAAAAAAAGAAATGAAAACATAAGACAGCATGCAGCAAAAAATAGGGGAAATAGTTTAAAACCTGTTAGCTAAGACATGCCCAGAGCACAAAAGCAAACTACACCATGAGAAGCGTTAAACCACTTCTGTTGAGGCTCCTTTTCACTCACACCCACACATAAGTGAATGAACCATAGCTAATGACCATAATGCACTCTCAAACACGTTTCTACACACGGTACAGCAGAGAGAGAGGGAGAGCTATGGTAAACCAGCTGACATTTGAGAATCAGACATCTGAATAAAGATTTTTTAGCACTACTGCACTGAAATACACTAACAGAAAAGGTATATTCCCTCAACCTAAACATGTGATTTTAAATATCAGAGGCTTGGAAAATAAAAATATTTCCTCTTTATTCATTTACCAAAAAGGTGCAACACACGTGGCACTGCGGTGCTCAGACAAGAGGTTGCATTTTTTTTTCTGTCATGTGTGGCTAATCATTTCCTTGTTAGCAGATGGGAAAATAACAAGCCTGATCAATGCAGGCTGCACAGCTTCCTTATGTCATCTGCTGATTTAGTGGCGCTCCGTCTCGTGTATCACGGTGCAAACCAGGCTGTGGAGAAGACGTTCAGGGTGGAGGGGGGGGAATGGAGACGCGGTGAGGTCTGTTAAGGGAGTTAAGCAACATAAAATATGGTGGGAGTCCTGTCTCCATAACCCCAGTGACTGTCAAGTTAGGAGTGTTTACAAGGGCCTTCAAGTCCTGTTAACTCCATCTGTCCTTCATTGTTTGAGCAAACAGAAGTGCAAAAGCAAGGGAATGGGTAGAAAGACGCAGATCAAGCTGAAAACTACAAGCTAATGTCAGAATTAACAAGCCCACTCTGGGCATTTGTTGGAGCAGGCTGTGTTAACTGTAAACAAGCTGTTTTGATGTAGTGGAGACGCTCTAGCTGGCACGTCCCATCAGGCCAGAGGAAGACGAAACGGCCCCCGGGCCTTTCATCATAACACTTTTCCTCTCTAGAGAAAACGGCTGCCAGGTCACCCTGAGAACCACAACCCGCCCCCAGGGTATCACTCCTCATCTTATCCCTAAAAGGAACGTCGTGTCAGAGGAGAGATGGTGGAGCACGGTGCAGCCACATGCTGGGAAACGGTCAGCGCGGCTCGCGATGACTTGTGATCTTCAAAGAGATTCGAACCAGTGCAAGTAAAAGCTGCAAACCTCACCGTCGTGGTGAATCAAATCGTGCTGCAGGAAACCTTAACATGCAGAGATCACTGCAACACTTTACAGAAGTATTTAGACTGCAGGAACTTTTGACATACTTCCACTTAACAGCAAGAAACCCATTTTTAGGGGTATTTTTATCTGACAAACAAACACAGTGTTTCATGGGGATGTCAAAAGCAGACAAACATTTTTTATCTTTTTCCCAAAATAAAATCCTGCATGCGTTCAAACTCTGTCCCGATGAATTTTTTATCAGCTTTCTCATTCTATAAACAGAAAATCTTTCTAAAAATTAGCTCCAGCTTACTCAGACAGGATAGATGTATATATATATATATATATATATATATATATATATATATATACATACATACACACACACACACAACCAACCACGCAAGATAATAAAGATAAAAAATATATACACATATAGCATATGCATATGTAAAACTAAATCCAGGTAAAGTGATAGATCCAAGTAAAGTGATATGCGACGTGCAAAAATAGTGCATAAATGTCAATTACAGAGGGGGGTATCTGAATCACTTAGAGATTAATGACCACAGGTAGGAATGATTTCCTGTGGCGCTCTACATGGCGGCCCTTAGCTCTGTCCATCTTCCCATCTACACTAACCAGCTTCCCTGTCCCGGCTGAGGCAAAAATCTATCACCTCAGCATGATACAGCCACCACCGTCCATTCCCATGGAGATGATAGATTCCAGGTGACCTCACATATACTTTGAAGTTAAAGTTATCATCTAACCAGAGCAGCTTCTACTGCATGTTTTCCATGACCCTGACTTAACAGGATTTCTTATCGCTTACTTTTAACAAGCTTTTGCTTTATTGCCACCTTTCTATAAAAACACAGTTGAGGGTTGCTCAACTTATTTTTTTTTTTATAGAATGCCTTTATTTGTTTAAAGCTGTCAGAAAAAAGGGCTCAATCAAGTTGCACAGCAAAGTATAATAATACTTTTCCTGGTGCTAAAACATTTTAAATCTCACCATATTTAAGCTGTGACTCCACTGAGGCAAGAGTGGTTAAAGAAAAAAGGTCACAGCTAAAAGTGTCCAAAGGAAAATAGGCTGCACAAGTCTGAACAAATATTGATGAAGGTTGACTGTCTGGCTTCCTGGAAGCAGGTTAAGATAAAAACATCAGATGGCTTTAGACTTTTCTTCATTGTTCTAAAAGCGAACTGCACTGATAAAAGTTTGCGAGCACAACCCGCCTCTTTTTTATAAAGACAGAAGTCAACACCGTTGCAAACCAATGTGCTGAGCTTTAATCACATGTTCCCATTCCTTAAGTAAAGCCTTGGGAAGGCAGAACACACTGACAGCTCCATAAACTATAGTCCAACTTTAAAGAAACTTGTTAAGAATCTTGACAGACATTACTGAGGATTTCTTTTCCTGCCCTCTTCCTCCCGTCTCCTCTTTTCCTCCCCCCCTTCATCCGCTCTCACTCTCCCATACGTAGTTCTTTCTCTTTGAATGATTCCAAGTGACATGTTTCCAGTTCCTGGCCCCTTAACAGTGTCAATTAAAGCAAGCGAGGGAGAGAGAAAGAGAGATTGAGTGGGTTCCAGGGTTTTGGCTGCCACTCTGCTCTCTTCAGCGCTCTAATCCGGAGAGCTGACATTCAGCCCAGCACAACAACCCTGGGAGCACTGGGAATCAAAGCGCTTCACACAGACTTTAGGAAGAGAAGGGGAAAAAGGTGAAGGAGTTTGTGTGTGCGTGGGGTTGTCTAAGAAGTGGGTAAATGTTCATGTTAAACAAGAGGAAAAGATGCAAAATAGAAAGTGGCAGAAAGTGACAAAGGAGGAAAAATATGGCAATTTGAGTGCCAGAGAGCTGAAGAGAGACACTAATAGCAAAGAGGAGAGGGACAGGGGAGAGGTTAGAAGCTGTGAGGTGGAGAACACTGCCAAGTCACACACTGACTGCACTTATTGGCAACTGGGGTTAAAAATGCTTCAAAACACACATTCTGGGCTGCATGTCAGGCCAAATAGCTGCGTGAGGAAACAACCACGAAGGGAATCATAAAATTAAATGGCTCTGAGGCCCGAAAAGCAACACAATCATCGTCCTGATTAAAAAGCAAAGTGTAGAGAATGAGGCTTTTTTTTAAACTGCCTGTATTTCCCCACATCCAAAGTTGTGGGGAAATAATCAGTGATCCTTCTGTGAACCTATTTCTCATGCACCCTGCAGATCCTATGTACCTGCTCTCACTCCCTCTGGGGCCCTGGGCTGCAGAGCCACCATGTGGCTTCAGAAAACAACAGCTCTACATGCTCCAATTCTTTTCTTTCTGGCTCCACCTGCTGGACGCTCAGAGCAACTGAAGGAGAGACAGGATGGGCTGGAAATAAAAGCTTTATTCGCTTTATAAGTCTTTCATTTCTGCTTGCTAAGAGCAAAAATATCCAGAGGAATTAGGTTTTAAGATTGATGCAAGCAAATGTGAAAAAGCACTAACTTTAAAAACAGCTAACAGCTGAAAACAAAGAGCTGATCATAGCGAAAAATAATAAAATACAACAAAAGAAAAAAAATACAGCATAAAGGTATAAAATAAGGCAATACTAAGAATTTGTTTAAGCTTAATAAACAAGGCCAATGCCAATGTTAAAAAGTAGGAGCCATGTTTTAAAAATTGGAAGGGAAGGAGCCTCTGTAATGTGCAGCAACTTACAAACAAAACATGTTTTTCGTTTAAAATATATTTTTTGTTAGAGAGAGAGAAATTACATAGAAAGACATGCTGGAAAAGAGGAAAGGAGCTAAGGTGGACAGATTTTTTGTTTTATCTATTAAGATGTTAATGTGAAATATAAGCCTAATGCATGTTTTATTGACATTTAGAGAAACATTTCCACCTTTCCTTCTGTGAAGTGGGAATATTTTAGTGGTTAACACTACTTTGGTTTTCACAGACTCAGATATGACAACATACAGTAAGAAAACAGAGGGATGATTAAAACAAATCTAATTTATAAGCCAACAGTTATAATCTAGAATTTTAAAGTATAGGTTTTACATTTGTTGGTTACCACATTTTGTGGCATAGCTGTCATACGTTATTGAATGCATGCTGATGATTGTGTATTTCTCAAGAGCACTCTGATGTTTCATTATTTTTTAAGCTTTTATGGTTTTAAGAATTCCCTTTGAGCATCATTTTTTTGTGCAGCTTTGATGGACTGCAGTGGAAATTAAAGTATGATGAACATTAGTTCTGACTGACGTTATAGCCAAAGTATAGCTCTGCACCCTCCACCCATTGCCATTGTTGGTTGAACAAAGGAAAAATGCATGCAGGTAAAATATGGAAGTAGGAAGCAAAGATGTATGCAGAGTTATCACTTTAAATCACAGTATTTATCATGCTGAGGGCTCAACCAGACTAGGAAACTTGTAAAGAGGAAAAAAATATTTGGATTGGATGTGATTTCTGCCTCTAGCTTGATACAAGATTTTTTTTAAATGGTCTGAAATGTTAAAAGTGTGACAAAAAACAGTGGAAGATGAATATCATCTTCTACATCCAGTTATTGGAAATAAGTGAATCCTTTTAAAAGAGCATCTTTAAAGGATAAAGCTTATGAAAATGTTTCTAAAATGTTCATTTAGTAGACTTAGATTTATTTTGTCAATTCGTATACAAAAGTGTAAACAAAAAGAAATTTAATTTAGAACAGCTTTCCAGACAATTTCATTTTTAAAGTGCAGCCTTGATAAGGTAAGCAGCAGTGATAAAAAAAAAAAAAACATTGTGATATTAAGTCACTATAACTAGTTATTGAATCCGCATCGTTCATGTTTGCTTGGCAGCAGTGATGTCAGACAGATCTGGATCTTAGCATCCAAATGGGATTTTTATCCTGGTGGAAGAGGATCTGATGCTGGAGCATTAGGGGCCTGTTGCCTGGGCTTCACCCCATCAGTTGTTGTTGAGCTGCTACTACTGCCTCCAGCTCCTGACGCACTCGCTTCTCCTGGCTATATATATATAGCATCATCTATACAGTGTTTTACATGCAGGGATAAGTATAGAAGCATGCTCTTGCACTAAATGACTGAACGTAGACTAAACTTAGCGTCTTTGCTTCCTGTCCTTCAAACCAAGTTGAACTCGGTGTTTACACTGCCAATCCTCTTGCTAAAGCATGAGAGAAGCACCCAGTTTGTCTGGTCGACCCATGTTTGCTGCCCACGGAACAGCCCGGGCACAAATGGATGTTTTTCCAAGGAGCCGCTACAAAGCCACTAAAACATGGTCCCCTTATTCCCGCCGTTGTTGAGAGCTGTGCTTCTGCCTGCCTGAGCCGCTGCCATGGAGCTACCCACCAGCGCTTTAAGGACGCACCTTTTTCAAGCTGCTGTAAGTGATCAAATGAAGCCCTGCAGATCTGCCTCTGTCCCTCCTAGAGCTGCGTGTTAATGAGTGGACTGTGTTTCTGAGCCAAATCGAGATATTTTTGGCTCCTCATTTCCGAATTGGACTGAACATAACCAAACTGAAAAGCCCCCTTCCATTCTACCGCGACAACACAGTAGACCCGTTTTCCCTTCTTTTCATATGATGTTTAATAAATAAGCTTTCTGATTCAACTGCTAATGGTTTTTAAGTTAGGGTTATGAACTGAATGCCAATGCTCACTGAGCCTGATGATATACGCTGTCTGCTTAATTCGTCTTTGTATATTTGTTGGAAGAGTTAGGCTATTACAATTGGACTGCCTAGCATCCTTAGCTCCAAACTACGTCATCTTCGGCCACATGCTAGCAGCCATTTGTGAATTTATGAGCTACTGTTCTAGCTGAGCTCAGGAACAGGTCTTCTGGGGTCAACTGAGCGAACGCATTTTGACCAGTGCCGCTACATATTAATGCATTTCTTATTCATTGTTCATTTTTCACTGTAAAACCAAATGAGGCTTCATTGCTTTGCTTACATTTAATATCTCTACATCTGTTATTTTAAGGGAAACTTTAAATGCATCAAGCCTTAAAACTTGATCATACCTCAGAGACTCTTCAGCCCTCTTTTTCCCCTTTTTATTAGCTTTTTGTTTTATTTGAGCTTATTTTCAATAGTGTTGGTATTAGATACAATAATTTGTGATTATTAGCTAATAAAGGTACCAGTGTTTCAACCCGTGGTGTTTAGTTATTTATGCAGTGAATGGTTTATCATTTAGAGCCAGATCCACACCGTCCATTCCTAGAAACAGAGATTAATAGATGTGCTGATAACCAAAGACTAAATGAATACAATTATGAGACAACAGCTGGTCCGGAAGCCCAATCTTGGGTAAATGAAAGTTTTATTTATTTTTTTGTTGCCTCTGTTCCACCATTTACCATGTTCCATACAGAATGTCAGGACTTGCTTTTTTTTTTTTTTTTCTGTTTTTTTTTTTTTTTTTTTTACATAAAATTCTAACTCATTTGGCATTGTTTTTCTAGTTTTCTGGTGTTTTAGGAAATCTAGATTTTTCCCTTTAATCTTGATGAGCAACACAATGATGGTGTCATTCTGAAAGGCATCACAAGAAGTGTCAAAAACAAGATACAAAAACACCCCGCATCCATCTGTCCCACTGACCTGCTTTCTGTGTCCAGGAAGACGGAGCTGCTGCTCTCGCACAGAGCCTCACTAACAGGAGAAAGACAGAATGGAGAGGAGAAGGTGTCCGAGTCTGAGCCCATGGTGCTGTCCCGGCTCACTTCGTCCGACAGCTCATAGGAGCCCTCGTCGCCCTCCTCCCCAGCTAAAAGCAGCTGCTGCTGATGGTTAGAGGACGGGTCTGAGCCACTCTCACCCACCAGGCTCTGGGTGGAGGTGCTGCTGGTAAAGTTCCTCTCCTCGTCCTCCTCTTCCTCTGGGGCTGCTGCTGGAGGACGTGAGCGTGGCCTATGGAGGATAGTTGGTTCAATACATCACAAACATACAGTAACACTCTTGCAGGGTTTATACAGGAATGAGTAACTCTAATTTAATGCTTCTTAATGCTCTTATAAATAATTTCAATGCCATCAAAAAGTAACCATGGCTCTCAGAATCCTTGGTCATCTTTACTGTCGACAGACTGCAGCCATGTCCTGAATTCCTTGTTTTTCAGCCACTTTTGTTGAAAGTCCAGCTTTTTCTCCGCCTCAAGCTTTTTTTTTCCCAAACATACGGCTTAATGATCAATCGGAAGCAGTAACATCCAAACACGCTGATATATCTGACGAAATTGTTTGTATAAACTTTTTTTTTAAATAAAGCATTTTTTTTATAATCATATTTAATTAAATGTAATGCTAATCAAGACCTAAATTTTAAAAATAATAATTTAATGACTTTTAAAGATTTTTATTGACCCTGTCTGGGTATGTTATTTTCTTTTTCTATACAAAATATATACAGTATAAATATGTGCTGCCAAGGCTCTTACCGTCTCCCTCTGCGGCGGGCGTTCCTACGCACAGGGGAGCTCTCTGGAGTGATGTATCTCAGCGCCTCCTCATCGTGCCTCTGGATGCGGGAATTTGGCACCCAGGTCAGGATCAGTGTGGAGCCCAGGCACTCATCTTTCTCCACATGAACGCACAGGTAGCCTGCAGAGCCGACAAAAACATGTTGGCGTTAAGAGAAATCACCGAGACGTCTGGAGCAAAGGTTTTAGAAAAATAAAACAATCTAAGATGAAAAATTAACTTGATCCCCAAACAGGCAGAAGCAACCAATGAAAACAAAAGGAAATTAAGGAAACTAAGGAAATAAAAGTAAAACACTTCACTAAATAAAGGATTACCGTCATTATTTTGCATTATCAATGATTATTCAATAAGCGGCAATTTTCTTCCCATGGATCTTCCTATAATGTGAAGGGTAAAATGTACTTTTACAATATAAAGAATTAAAGTAAAATAGCACATCATTATATTTTTTTTTAAAGTTTTTGTATTAAACACAGACTAAATTATCAAAATTTTTCGGGTTCTTTTTTTTTTTTATTACACATTATTAAACTCAGTAAAATATGAAAAAACAGGAACCTATTAGGTCACTATATAAGGAAAACATTAATAAAATATGTGGAAAAACTATCGACTAACATGTAATCCACCAATCAGTGCTGTGAGAGGCTCTGCTATTAGCTGGGTCAGAACACTGGGGTTCTAGTTGCTTTCACAAGAATTTTATAGGGTAACTCTAGGACATGCATTAACCAACAAAAGCCTGCCTTCCTCATTAGCAGCATGTCTTTTTCTATCATGTTAAAAAAAAAGGTTTTGCATAATGCCCTTAACTTTCTTCTTTTCCCCTTTTTTTTCAAACTTACATTTTATTGATTTTAAAAGAGAGCAAATTCACAACATACAATGACAATTAACAGTTTTTTACAGTGTGAAATTTTACCATATATTAACCGTCCCAGCATGACATTTTACAGTTTCAGCATCATAATTGTGGTCTCCGCTTCACCATACAAACATAGCACAATAATTCACCTCAAATGGCAGGTCTATGTAACATAATCTAGAAAAAATAAAAAATAAAAATTTAGTTGTTAGACTTGTTTACTTGAGCAAATCTTCCACAGAACTCCAGCGTTGGCTGAAGATATCTTTTTGAAGTCTTAATGAGTACGTTATCTTTTCCATTTGGTAGAATTCCATTACAATTTGGACCCATGAGTTGTAGGAAGGCGGCTCTGGTTGCTTCCACTTAATTGTGATGCATTTCAGGGCCGCTGCAAGAACATTAAAGAGATATGATTTGGCTCGTCCTTGCAGCCCAACTGGAAAAATACTGAGTATTGCAACTGTTACATCCTTGGGGATAACCTCCTCTAAACTTTTTTATCATCACGTGCTTTTAAGCAAAGCAGAGAAGTTTCATGGCTCCTCTAGGCCACATGGATAAAGGGGCTAAAAAGACCATAAACAGAACCAGAATCCAGAACAGACTCAGTCAATTCTTTATAAGGCTTCTGCTACGGCATCTCTCATTTCTCTTGCAAAAACCAGTGAGGCTCTGTTTAAAAATGACCCCCAGCGCCCTCTAGTGAACTGTGGTAACACTGCAACACTGGAATTCCTTAAAAGCGGTGGACGTTATCAATTAATCGGATGGAAGAAATTTTAATCTAATAAACCTTTAATAAAGAATTCATCATAAGTCATCTTTAGACATGATCAATATCAAGAGAATATATATCCAGCTACATTTTCTACTGTTTAATATCACTGAACTCTGGTCTAGAACCACATCACATTCTGGGGGAAGTAGACAGAGGAAAGGATTTAGCCTTACCAAGCATGGTCGGTAGGGCTGACCTATTTTTAAAAGATGAAAGTTAAGTTTAAATAGTGTTAGGGTAACAATTTAACTTCTGCATTTTCCACTTGTGTTAGGCATTAAGGTATGGGCTTTTGACAAACAATATGAAACCCTTAAAAAAAAAAAAAAGTTGCAGAGAAAGCTCCCCACCAGACACCTGTGCAAACTTCCGAAAATTATTTTGCCATTTAAATGGAACACTTTCATTATAAAATTAAAGAAATTATTTTTGAAAAATTCAAATTTTACTAAGAGCTACAAGCTCAACAGATTAAAGGCACATATAACCAGCTGATTATTTCTCCCTTCTTATATTTCTCAGTCCATGGGGTTTTGCCTCTATCACAGTTTCTTTGTCATTGTCTCCTTTCCTTTTTGAACATTAACTTCCATATATTCAAGAAAACAAATACACCGGCAACATTTTCCCTAATTTATCAGACACCAAAATCAGAGACATATGAAAGAACAGTTTTTTTTCTAGTACAAACCAGGAGGAACATTTGGTAACTTTAGACTGGTCACTTATATACAGCGCCTTGCAAAAGATAAACGCTTTTCTTCCAGAATGCTCCTGTATTTGGCTCCATCCATCTTGCAATGTATTTTGCTAAAAAAATAAATAAAAAAACAGGCCCAAACAATGATGCTGCCACCACCATGTGTGACAGTGGGGATGGTCTGTTCAGTGTGATGAGCTGTATTGCTCTTACACGAAACATAACGTTTTGCATTGTTGCCAAAAAATTGATTTTGGTTTCATTTGGTTTTTATTTTTTATGAATAGCTTTCAGAAACTGGTTTATCCCATAAAAGTAAGCTTTGTGCAGTACATGAGTGATTGTTGTCATATGGACAGCTGTAGATCTCAGCAGTTCATCCAGAGTGATCCAGGGCCTCTTGGCTGCTTCTCTGATCAGTCTTCTCCTTGTTTGATCTGAAAGTTTAGAGGGACGTCCCGGTCTTCATAGATTTGCTGTGGTCTGAAACTCCTATTTCAATATTATCGCTTTCACAGTGCTCCTTGGTATGTTTAAAGCTTGGAAAATTCTTTTTGTATCCAAATCCAATCCAGACATTCATAGAGCAGGTGCATTTATAGGGAGACTTGATTAGACACAGGTGGTTTCCACTTATCTTAATCAGCCATTTAGGTCCAACATTGGATCATTCCGATTCTCACTAAACTTCTGGAGAGAGTTTGCTGAACTAAATTAAAGGGATTTTTTTTTTTTTGTTAAATAAGTTTAACATTTACAATAAATCTTGTTTCACTTCATGATTGTGTCCCACTAGTTGATTCTTCACAAAAAATGTTTATCATTTTATCTTTATATTTGAAGCCTGAAATTTGGTTTAAGGTCAAAAAGTTCAAGCAGGCCAAATACTTTTGCAAGGCACTGTAGCTAAAACTTGGGTATTGCCTCTGTGTCTGTGGTGTATGACACCAATAAACTGGGCTCTTTTCATTCGGATCGAATCAGCTGCACCCAGAATGTATGTAAGTGATAAATGCTGTAATCATAGACTGTGATAAATAAAAAACATATACAAATATATATAATACTGAATAATATCAATATAGCACAATGAGTTTTAAACACATTTCTTATATTAATATTCTTAATATCGAACAATTGTGCAGCCATACTTCCAGGAAGTCCAAAATTAGTATGACAATTTAGATGATGTGTACTTCTAACTAAATTCATGTCTACTTCCTGGCGCCAAAGTAATAATCAATCAATCAGTCAATCAATCCATCCATCCATCCATCCATCCATCCATCCATCCATCCATCCATCCATCCATCCATCCTTATTCCATCAGAGTCGCCAGTGCCCATCTCCAAAATTCAATGGGTCAGAGGCGGGGTAAACCCTGAACAGGGCACCAATCTCATGCATGGCAACACAGAGATACACAAAGACATACAACCATGCACACACACACACACACTCACTCACACCTGAGGGAGTAATAAGCTATATGATACATGTTGGCTAACGGTTCAAATTAAGGTAATCCAATCTAAAGCACTTCCAATGTCATTGTACCAGACAGACAGTGCAAACAGGCCAAATAATCTCCAACCTCAGCAGCAGTCTCAATAATAAACAAGCTGGTAGTTCTGGCTCTGAACGGCCTTTGCATTTGCCAAGATCTAAATGACTGAGAATTTGCACAGTCTTAGAAAACGTATCTGAGCAGCCAAACCTGGGTGGTGCTCGGCCAGGCCAGGGAGGGGCTCCATAGGATGCACGCAAACATTATTCTTGGAGAAGATGATCTCGCCATCCAGCCCAGAGCGCAACGATGAGCCTCCCGCCCCAGGGTTCAAGGTCAGGAAGTCGGACGCCTTGGAGGAGGCACGCCGAAGGAGCCGACCCAGAGACATCTCCTTAGGCTCAGGGACACTGAGCCCATCCTCTGACAGGGAATGAGAGAGAAGATGAAAACAATGTTAGAGATTGGAATGGCATTTTTCAAGGGTGGTGAATGGAGAAAGATCTTTTCTCCATTTTACTTTTTACCATCTCACTAAATTGTCAAGAATCCTGTTTTTGTTTTTTCTTATATCCCTGCCGCATCTTTCAATGAGATCTAGTTCAAGATGAGTTGATTTAATATCTAGAAAACCATTTATGTGTGAATATGATCAGATATTTTACATCACCGTCTAGCCCAGAGGTTGTTGTTTGTCTTCCATAGAACAACAGTGTTTTAACGCTTTCTAGTTGCATTTCAATCCCAACAAATACACACCAGCTGTCAACTCAAGTCTGAAAGGCCAAGAAGTAATAAAGCAGTTCATTTCAAATATTATACTTAAAGCTGCTATTCCACCTTTTGACCACCAGATGCCACTAAAGAGCACTAACACAAAAATATCATTTGGGTTACTTCAAAAATAAAAAAATAAGAAAAATCCTTAGGTTTTGGGTTAAAATGTCCCTTTTCTGTCTTAGAATGTCCCATTTTAAATCGAGCTGTATCACCATAAGAAAAGCTGCAGTGAAGCAGCCTTCATAAAGGCAGAAATAGCCGAGGCCCCTTAAAATGGCCTACTGTGAGTGTGATAAAGAATAAACACAGGTGGATGCAGAATCCCTCCAGGATCCTGGTGATCTGGATTGTAGTCAGCCAATGTGACCTTTGACCTATACAAATAAACGCTAAATAACAAACAAAAACCATAAAAAACCCAGGTCCCTGAAAATGAAATAAGACGTTTGTCTAACATTGAATCCAAATGTATTCAGCTCTATGTACAGTAACTCTACAGGGGAGATGGATTACAGTTTTCTTTGATATTCTAATTAACTCTGGTGTTTTAAAAACAGTTATCCTTTTAAATGTACTGGTATTCCCCCCCAACTATTAATTATGCTTAAATCTGTGGTGGTGCTTATTTAAGTCATTTTAAGGCTTTAAAAATGCTGTCCAGTAAATACAGCCGGTTCTGTATGAGCTGTAATTTATGAGGACCAATTCAATATGGAGGCAAAAAGTTTAAGGACAAATGTAACCCAGCCTTGCTCTAAGGCTGCAGAGATTCTCATCCAAACTTCGCCTCCTCATTTACACGTGTGCCAATATTTACTGCAGTGTCCTTACTGCAGGGCTCCTCCCTCCAATCCCCTCACCTCCCCTGACTTGTTCAGCATTTCTCCGAGCCGCACACCTGCATCTACTGGACAGCTTGGGCTCCTGTGTGCGTCTCATAGCTGTGTGTGCCGAAATGTTTCCCACCTTCTGCAAACAGCAGAAGCTACGCGCCGATGGACAGTAAGCAAACATGCTCGGCGTGCATCTGGTTGAAATCCCAAGCTGTTATCAGGAGCCAACAGATGTCGTTAATGTTGAGTTCTGAACTCAGACAAACTCAGACAAAGAGGCCTATTTTGGTTTTGCAGCTGATGGGAAAACATTTGATCATGTCTCATTTTACTCTCCAGTCTTAAGACTAAACTAAGCTTCTGATCCATCTGACTGATACGTTCTCCATTTTGGATAGAAGTCATATCTGTGTAACCTTGCTCTCTACTTGGCAGAACACTCCAACACGTACTCCCCACTCTATCTCAGGAATGTTCCGTCCTTTTTCCCTTTTTCCTCAGGGAAGCCGGGGGGGCATGTTTACCACCACTTGATTAAGCAGGCACCCTACTTCCTGGTGCCAAATCTCACACAGGAAGTTTGTCGTCACAAAATCTGGGCACTACCTCAAAGGGAAGCCATGTGGTAGGCGAACATTTCACTTCCATCTGAAAAAGTAGAAGCATGACGGTTTTTCTAGGTCAGAGATTTGCTATTGGCACAAAACTTCTCTTTTCAAAAAGTGTCTTCTGTCTCCAGAAGAACCTGGACTGCAAATAACATTTAAAACTAATTATTGAAGATTAGGGTTTTTTGCTGTTTCAAATTTTTTTTTAAATACTCAGCTTAAATTAAATACAGATTACGCCATATAAACTGTAAAAAGCCCAGCTAAGAACTTTCAAGTCCTTTTCATCATGAAGAGGCCTCCAGCAGAGACTGGCTAAACACTAAGAACAGGAAGTAGATCAGAAAAACTATACAAGGATTCCCTTCTGTGCTAAGATGAAATAACAGAGTACATAGAAATAAAATGGCTTTGAGCAAAAAGCTCACTAAAAAAATAAGCAAAAATACTGAAAAAGAAACAAAATGATATGACTGGCAGCAACAGCTTTGCTGAATGCTATACTTAGTGTGTTTTTTGCTATGGATAAATATATTGTCTAACACAGGAGCACTGAGGTTCAAGTCTTTTCTTTTAGGAAGAAAAAAAGAGAGTACAGACCGTTCCAGAAAAATCTGTATCCAGAAAAAGGAAGGAATCAAAAGAAGAACATAACTAGAGATACTTTCTTATGAAAAGCAAAACAAAGAACGCACAGTTTTGTCAATGGCTCTCCATAGAAAAGGGCCAAAGCTACAGAGGGAAACACTAAACCAGGGGTCCCTTCTAAGGGACAGAAATCAACAGTATACATCGTTAACTGGCAGTGATAGTTAATTGACTACGTCCAAGAACAGGAAGGAACAATGCAAATAAAGAGAGTGAGGAGAACTTTCTATGAGAAAAACAAAACAAAACGAGGGTTTAGTATGCAGCTGCAGAAACTATTTGGTTAACTGGCTTAATTTTGAAAAAAAAAAAAAAAAAAAAAAACACACCTTAACAGAAGAACTGATTCTGAAGTTCTTTCAGTAAAATAAAATAAACATATTACACCCAGAGAGAATTGTTATCTCAGTATGTTCCCCTATGAAAGAAATACCAGCTCATACAATAAGTACTGAGACAGTGGTACTTTCTATGGTTTATAAGCAAGAAGAACAAATAATAGCTCGTTCAATGGCTTCAACCTACAACAACAACAAAAAAACCTTAAAAAAAAACACAAAGGAGCACTGAGCCAGGGGTACTTTCTTTAGGAAAACAAAACACAGGACAGAGAGCAAATGGCAGCAACAAATTGATCAACTGATTTTGTCCAGAAAAGGTACACTAATACAAACAGAGGTGCTAAGCTAGAAATGCTTTTTATAATAAAGCCAATTAGGACTTCATTTAATCTATATAAGTATGTATGGGACCTGCAAATTATTACCAGCAAGCCACTTTATTAAACTACAACTAAGCATTAGTAATGTCCAAGAGCTTTTTATGCAACATGAAAGCAAACCCCATCCTCAGATTTCACCAAACAAAACTGTTTCAAAAAGAAAGAGCAGCAGCGGCCCTGCATGTCCAGGCAGAAAAACTTTTTTGACCTCTCATGAACTGCTTATAATGAGGGACTCAGATCTTTGAACATTACAGCTTACTGCTGTTTCATTTCGATAAAAGAGATATTCCCTGCTTGGCTTCTATGCAGAGGTTATTTTTTATGTGCATGATGCAGGGAGCCGAGGGTCAGTGTCAGGTTCACACAGGCTGATAAGCAGAAGTAGCCTCCTGCTCTCACTTCATCCCTAACCCAGTGAGCTCACAGGCTGCTTCTCCTCTCTGACCTCCTAGAGTTCCATCAGGCAGCAAAGGAGGGGGAAACCTTTCTAGATTCACTTCCCTTCATCTTTTCCTGGATCATTTTCCACTACTCTTTTTCTTAAACATACCCTTTCACATATTTGAACTTTAAATAAGAGAATAAAAACTACACTACTACATTTAAACAGCAAGAGCAGCAACCGCAAACAGCTTCTCACCTGTGGGAGAGGAATAATTCAACTGTAATACTGCGGTGTGGCGGTTGAAAGGTTACCAGCTTAAAAAAAAAACCTGAAAAACAACATCCTTACAGACTATGCTATGAGGAAGCTCCTTCGGGTGCTTCAAGAACCTGCTTCCTGATTCAGGAGGAATATTATCTCGACACTGACGTCAAACCACCATAAAGCAAGCCCTAAAGGTTTAGTTCGTTGAATGGGTGGAGTACAAGCAATTTAATCCAAATAAACCCAGGGGACTCAAATGCAAGTAGAAAGGCTAAAGAAAAGCTTAAGTTGGGTTATAGAAAAGTAAAAGTTGAAACTACAGAGAATAACAACAACTATATACTATGCTGCAAAAAAAGACGCCTGGGGCTTATCTCCTGTTAAGAAACACTGATTCTAATTATATTATTCATCTACCTTAAAATATTTTCTTTTATTTCTGGACAATGACACCATTTCCTGATTTTAAAACTGCAGGGTTTTTAGGAAAGAAAAACGATTTACATTAGAATAGAGGTGTAAGACAAAAAAGGTCTATTTATATATAACTAGGAAAGAAAAAAATTGTATTTTTATAATATATTTCACCAGGGGCGCCATACGGGGGGAAAGTTAGGAAGATTCTAAGGGCCCTAGACTGAGGGGGCCCTAAAAGAAGAAGAAAAGATATGACCGACTGGATATTTCAAATATTAAAAGAAAAACCCACAGCAAAATAAATTATTTGTGTTCTCCCTGATCTTTCATCATTAAACAGCAAAATAAAGCATGAATATATATTGACCAACTACCCCCCCTCTAATAATTCAGACTGAATTGTAGCCATTAAAAGGCATCTTTAAATCTTGATCAATCTCATGAGCAGAATGAAACAGCTACACCAAAAATACATGTATTGTATTGTTAGTACATTAATGGAAATCAATTTCCAATCCAAACCGTCCACTCAATGGTTTACCAATAGTGATGTCATGGGATTTTAGTACCTCAGAGGTACACCACCCAAGACATATCATTTTGTTATTTCCCTTCATCCTGACCATATGTCAGGATGAAGGGAAATAACAAAACGACAGATAAAATGGAAAACTACAAATAAAAAGCTTTGCTTGCTTATAAGTTTTATAACCCTCACCTGAAAAACACTTTAAATCGATGCTCTCTCTGCCTTGATTCCTGACTCAGTGTTGTGTCCGTGTCAGTTGGTTTTATGGTACTTTCAATCTATTCTTGGAAATCGCAGTACATCGTAGATCAGTGTTGTTGTCATCGTTCTGGTTGTAAACAGTGGCTCTAATAGCCATATACACGCATACAACGGAGAACACAAGCGAGAAACTGGAACAATATCTCAGAGTTTAGGTCACTTCAACTTCCCATTTTCAAGTTTTAAGGCAAATCAATCACAGACCTAAATAAGATGGTGTGCAGATGGCGCAGTGTTTAGCGCGCATGACCCATGTACGGAGGCCTAAGTCCTCGATGCTGGCGTCCTTTCCTGCACGTCTCTCCCACTCCCTCATACCCCCTTTCCTGTCATACCTTGAAAGCTTGCTTGTTGCAAGACTGTAATCTTTGTGTGAAAAAGTGCTTACTTCTACTTACATGCATGGTTTGAATGTTAGCTAAAACTTTCTCCAACAGTCTGTGTGGCAGCAAACCCACTTTAAGTGTATTACTGCCCCATAAAGAGCTGCAGTGAAAAAGTGTATTTCTGTTGTTGAATGTAATGCGACCAAAATTGAATGCCAGTGCGATTTGAAATTTGTGATTCGTTACATTGAGATTATATCGTAAATGCAATTAATTGCCCGGCCCTCATTTTAAGATATTGAAAAACTCAACTGTAGTAATCACTCTTCAACCCATAGACGCCAGTAAGAGAGTTTTAGGCCATGAATTAAAGAAGTTTAGACAAAAATTTCAAAATTTGAACAGTAAGATATAATCTATAATACCGTAATATAATCCTCAAGGCCCAATTATACAGTTTATTTGCTAAACAAATCTGACATTTTCCAACACGCCTTATCCCAAGTGGGGTCCCAAGGGGGGCTGGTGACTAACTCCAGCTGTCTACAGGCGGAAGGCGGGGTACACCCTGTCAGGTCGCCAGTGTATCACAGGGCAACACAGAGACAAACAGGACAAAGAACCATCCAAGAACACACTCACATCTAAGGATTTAGAGAAGTCAGTTAACCTAACAGTCATGTTTTTGGACCCCGAGGGAACCCACGGATGCTCAGGGAGAACATGCAAACTCCATGCAGAACAGTGGTGTCAAAAGTACACACATTTGTTACTCAAGTAGAAGTATAGATACTATAGTTTAAACTCAAGTAAAAGTGAAAAAGTATGTGCTCCAAAAACTACTTAAAGTATAAAAGTATAAAGTAACCTTCAAAAAAACAGCCAGATGCCACTATGTGAACTCAAAGCTCAATTTTTCAACTATTTTGAAAAATCCTTTAATATAGGGCCATGGATGAGGGAGGTCTTGTTGGTCTCCATCTCCCGATACGCTCTGGCCTTCAACATCTTTTTATGAATCCTACATTGTAGCATAGCATAGACAATTAATTTGCAATTTGAAGAACACCTGCTTGCTTGTAATGATTTCCTTTAGCTAACCAATGAGTGTTTGCGTTATATGACTCATCCAACTACACTAGTTTTCACTAGATGTGGATGGAGCCAATGATCTGCACTGGATGGCGCACATGACGTGAAATAAATATTTGTAAACATTAAACCGAAGCCAAGAGTAACGAGTAACGTTAGTTTTAAAAATGTAAGGAATAGAAAGTACAGATACTTGTGTGAAAATGTAGTAAGTAGAAGTCAGAAGTAGAAAGAAAAATAAGTAATGGAGTAAACTATAGATACCTAAAAAGTGTACTAAAAAGACCCCAGGCTGGGAATCAAACCCAGGACCTTCTTGCTGGAAGGCACATACTAACAAATAAATTGAAATTTAATTTCTGTTTGTTTTTAGTAGAAATTATTTATCCATCAATCCATCTCCTGACACACTTAATCCCAAGTGGGGTCGCGAGGGGTGCTGGCCTATCTCCAGGACAGGTCACCAGTTCATCGCAGAGCAACACAGAGACACACAGGACAAACAACCATTCACGCGCACACCTAGGGAGAATTTATTGAAGCCAATTAACCTAACAGTCATGTTTTTGGACTGTGGGAGGAAGCCGGAGTACCCGGAGAGAACCCACGCATGCTAAGGGAGAACATGCAAACTCCATGCAGAAAGACCCCGAGCCGGGAATCCAACCTGCGACCTTCTTGCTGGAAGGAACATACTAAATAATTAATTGAAATTAAATTTCTGTTTGTTTTTAGTAGAAATTGTTTATTGGAATATGTCCTTCCTCTTAAGTAAAACAGAATACAACCTATTCAATTAGCCCTTTATTACTGATTTTATGATTAGAAACTCCAGTCAGCAAAATAATGTATTGATTAAAATGAAATGAAATTTGACTCAAATAGATCAGATAGGACTCTAATGTTTATGTATCTGAACAGATGCCATCCTTTTTAGTTACTGCTGTAGTGCAGTAGTTCTGCTGGGTTAGGGGGGGTGGGTCTCTCCCTGTCCTATCCGTGATGGGGGTCCGGGGATAAGCCGCCTGACAGCAGCAGATGATGCATATTTACCCCAGGCCTTCCACAGTGGCCCCTCTGCTCTACATGTCCGACCCTCTGTCAGCTCACCCTGACGTGCATTATTTAACTCAGCTCTCAGACGCTTTAGGTCGCTTTAAAAAAAAAAGCACAATTCAGAGGCGCACATAAAATGAGCGTCGGCACACACCTGCCCCCAGCAGCAGGGATAAACAGCAGCATGGAGCGCTCTCACCTTCAGCCCCGCCGCAGGAATCTACAGCCCAGTCCGGACAAACATGTCAGCGACACCACAGAAGCCGAGCTCCATGAACCGGGCCTTGGTTTGGGATTTTCTCCCACTCTTTCTGCTCGGTTTAATACCAGCTGTGTCTTTATCGCAGTGGTTTATCACTGTTTCAGGCACGGCCACCAGTAGGACCGCTGCTGCTGTTTCAGTGGCCGATAGAAGCGCTTCCCCGCTGCAGACTTTCAAAATAAAACCACCCTTTAAAAAGTAAAGTGTCTTTAACCTTAAAACATGTTTCACGCTTTAATGTTGGATTCATTGCACTTTACTTCCTGGTATATCTTTGTCTCTTTAAAGTCTTGATTTTACGACACAGCCCCCGCCCGATCACCCCCTTATATAGCCACTTCCGGCACATAGTATTTCTGTCACACAAATTGGAAATGTGATATTAATGTCTTAAAAGGTCTTAGAAAAAAAAAGATGGACTGCAACTGGTCTAACATCAGCACAGAGATGAAGCATTATCTGCTGTACTGATGGCACTTTGCAAAATATATTTATACCTTTAAAAACCTTTTCATGGTCAACACAAAGTGGCATGAAGTTATAAAGTGGGAAGGCAGGGATACACTGCTGTCAGATTACAAATCCACGGGAGGTTCTCAACAGGGGCCAATTATGTGCTCAAACATACATAGTATATTGACTGATTTAATCTTTCTTTCCATAAAATTCAGTTTTAATTATGATCTGCTAAATGTAATTTTGAACTAAATAGAATACTCTTATTTGTTACCAATAAAAGCTCTTTTAGTTTCCCTTAAGTACTGATTCTGATTTGATTAAAACTGTCTATTTTAATTTTCAAATATATGCAATATTCCTGCAATATCAATGTACATTGACCCAGAATACCAAGGAATAGCTTTATTTTTTCTTTTAGTAGACATACATTTAGCAAATAATTACTTTGGTTGTTTTGTTTTCCATTGTAAGAGATATATATATATATTTATTTATTTTAAAGGTATAAATAAAAGAGTTCATACCAAAAACACAGGTTTTCAATTGGACAACAAGGGGCTCTTTTGTCCTGCGGACCCATTAATATATTTCAAATGATAAACTATTGCTCTGTTTTTTTGTTTTATGCTTTTCTGTGCATCAATTAAAACTCGCTGACCCCACCCTGACCCCCCGGGTAAATTTGGTCCAGAACTACCACAAAAAAAAGGGTGCTTTTTTTTAATCTACTTTGACCTCCTATTTCATATACACACCTAACTCCTGTTAATAGAATATAATAGAAATCTCTTTATTGTCCCACAATTGGGAAATTCTGGATTTTAAGTTGCACTAGCTTCATCCTATGTGGAGAGGTTGTATGCATCATCAGTTAATCACATGGACCTTTGTCTTTAAATCATCTAAACAGTTATTCATAGTGACAACAAAATGCAGGACTCTTTCATATTAATAATTTCAGATTTATATTGCTCTGCATGAACCGCCAGAGAATAAATATAACAAGGACCTGTGTTGCACTCAGTCTGTTCATAGGTTAATGATCTCCTCTTAAATATTTAAATTGACAATTTTTTGTGTTCAATCTTCTTCAATGGTTATAAATCTTAGTCGTCACCCATAAATCCAACAGGAAAGCTGTGAACTGTAGAGGATCTAGAGAAGGCTGGATGTTGAAAAACGATCCCTCTCACTATAAGCTGAAATCAACCTTATAAATCATCACAGGATAAGAGTTAGTGTTGTCCTGCTGGCAAAAAGTTTTTTTTTTTCAAAACGATTCAATTTTAGAATAATAATGTATTATCAGCTATTTGAAATCCATAATAAAGGCAATACAAAATCTTATCAGTAAAAATAGAATAACAGATGATTAAATTAAATTTTTTATTTCTTTTTACTTTTTTAAAGAAACACTTTGTACAATATTTACAAGACTATTTATATATACTGCCAAATGCTGATTTAGCATTTTTAAAAACAAACTATATACAAATCTACAAGGTTCAAATGTCATAAAGTTGTTTTTTTCAAGGTGAGCTTGTAAAATGACATTTTAATTGCATGATGACCTTAAGTTTGCATTCAAATGCTTAAAGAAAATCTGTCGTCACTGGAAAAATAATGCAGCAGATCATTTTGACAGCACTGCGAAAGGCAAGGAATATAACATCAATTCAGAGCATCATAGAACCCATCGGATCGTAAACGTCTTTGACATGGGTAAGGCCAGACCAGTTACTGTCAGAACCTATAAAGACAGGAGAAAAAACATTATTCTGGATTGTTGCAACATGATGTAAAGAAGGGTTTTGTTTCTGTAATTGAAAAATGTCAAAGCAATAATTGGTGACTAGCCCAGGACTGACCTTCATGTTGGCCTGATATGTAAAGTCACTGACTTTCTCTCCATTTGCCAGGACAGAAAAAGGTGATGAAGGCACTCCAAACACCTGGAGGCCTCCCAGCAGAAGGTTAGCCAAAGCCTCATTGAGGTTCAGAGGGTTACTCGTTATCTGGGCCTAAAACAAAGGGATAATTAACACCCCTGTTAGTCAGAATACAAACATAAACCTGATCAACTTTACATCAACATCAAGGACATGGCTACCCTTCTCTTACAGTGCCTTAAAAACAGATCAAAGGCTTGAGCTGATTAACATTTGATCGCGTTAAGCCACAGACCTCAATGTGTTTTAATGGGGATTGAAGTGATGGCAAACACAAATTAGGACATGACAGTAAACTGAAAGGAAAACAATACATGATTGTCTTTGAGTTCTCTTTACATCTGAAAAGAAAGCCATAACTTGTTCTAGTTTTCTATAAGACATGAGGGGTACACAACCATCTGAAAAGATGAGACTGAACTTTGGCCCTGTTTGCAAAACTCTGATTGGCAGAACCCTGTGGTAAGACACGGTTGCGGCAGCCTCATGCTGAGAGCATTTTTTACTTCAACACCAACAGGGGAGTTGGTCAGAATTAATTGGAAGATTAAAAGAAATCACCACTCAGTGTTGGTTTACTGCATTAAATCCCCCCGTATTACACTGAGGGCAGTGGTTTGGATGTGACAAAATGTGGAGAAATTCAAATGTTATGATAATGTTTCTTAAAGATTAAAGTACCTGTCCAGCAGTGAAGTTCACATAACAATACTGTTTTGTTTCAAAAGTACTAAGACTGTCTCCATCATCCCAGAACAAATCCCCCCATGCCCGGCCATCCGCGGACAGCGCCACCGTCAGGAAGAAAGGGTTTCTGCGTGAAGCTGTGGTGGTCAAAGCAGGTTCCTTCACAGAATAAAAAATGATAAGACATTTCAAAACAGACGTTCTTTTCAGTAGAATGTCACAAGGATTATACAGCACATTGATCCACCATAATTTGACGAAACTATTAAACAAAGCATAAACAGTCTCCCACCAGGAGCCGTACAGCAAATGCTGTAAAGTAGCAGTTAGACTACAGCAAAATAAATGCATCTTAGATAACAAATCCGGACAGAATTGTCACACTTAGACAAAAACTGAAATAAAAAGCTCATTCTTATAGATTATGTGGAGTCGAGACCCACCTGCTGGGGGATGATGTGCCCCTCCCTCACATGAATGTTTATTGTTTCCAGAGGTGCTGGTAGCTGAAATAACTGACCATTACTGTGGAAAGGCTGACCCTGGAATTAACAAACCAGATGTCAGTGAAACTATTTGCTTCCTATACTCTTTAAACTTTGCATATTATGTCACAAACATAAATTCATTGTTATGGAGGACCAGCTCTACCATATTTAAAAATAAATAAACGCTCAATAAATAAATAAGCATACAATTAAATGCCCCCAAAATACAACAAATAAATAAATGTAGGTAGAAATTAAATTATTCAGTGAGACATAAATGTATATATCCCGTTTAATTAGCTTATTTATTTATTCGCCTTTGTAATAATTACCTTATTTATTTATTGTCTGTTTATAATCTTCAACTTTATTTATTGATTAGTTAGTTTAAGTATTTATTTATGTGCATGTTATAATATTTTTGCAGGTTTTCTTCTTCCTTTGTATCTTTTTATTATATTATTTTTCACATTTGTAAAATAATTATTGATAATAGTAAGACTCAATCTGGTGAATTAAGTTAATTTGGTTAACCATTTCTACTTAAGTGGACAGCCATGTTCTGATAGCTGTACTTCTACTTTAAAAGCTGATTTAAATGTCTCTACCAATTTATCCCTGAATGGTTTGCTCTGTTCATTTGTCGTCATGACGCAGTTCATCTGCTCATGATCTTTAACAAGCCTCTAAGGCATTTACTGAACAAATAAAAACAACTCAAATATAAATCAAAGTTGGTTTAGTCTGAAATTACTGTATGCAGAAATTCAGAGTGAGTGAACACTTGTAAAGTTTTGTGTTTTGTAGAAGAAAAAGTTAAAGACTGAATGAACCTGTGTGGTAGCCCTTACATTTTGCAGGTGGTACCAAGTGCCAGCTGGTAGGTATGCACTCAGTTCTACAGCCCCTTGCTCTAAAACTGGACTGATGAGAAGTGAACTCCCCCACAGGAACTGTTGGTCTTTAATCCAACAATTAGGATCAGTGGGAAACCTGAGAATTATAAAACCAAAAGATAGAAGAACAAAGAAAGTCTAGATACTTCAACTTCATGTTAGATTAAAAAGTTTAGAAGAAGAAGAAAGTACGTACTCCATGAAGAGGGGCCTAGCCACCATGTCAGCAGATGTGTGTGCATGATGGAAGAGGGTGTAGAGGAACGGTAGAAGCGAGTAGCGAAGGTTCAATGCACTCCGCATGGCTCCCTGGGCTTTCTGTCCAAACACATATGGCTCTTGAGGCTGAGGGATGAGACAAGAGAAAACAGAGTGACATCTTCTCATAGTACGCGACAGATACTACAGATACCTGTAATGCCTCACAGCCATGAGATAAATATAAACATGGACTAAAACATAAACATTGATGGTGCAAAGAAGTTGGTCCGAAAAAACCCTTTGATTCAGACTCGGAGGTTAATATTCTTCCAGGACATCCCACAGGGCAAAGCGCTTATGACATTCTCCGTATAAAAGCCCTTTTCCCTTATGCAAAAGCCTCTTTTTGATCTGTATATCAAACCAGATTGGGGAGACACATGTCCCTGCTGG